ACGACAGTTGTAGCACTACGGCTGTCATACCTCCTATACTGTAACACAGACTTACGACAGTTGTAGCACTACGGCTGTCATACCTCCTATACTGTAACACAGACTTATGACAGTTGTAGCACTACGACTGTCATACCTCCTATACTGTAACACAGACTTATGACAGTTGTAGCACTACGATTGTCATACCTCCTATACTGTAACACAGACTTATGACAGTTGTAGCACTACGACTGTCATACCTCCTATACTGTAACACAGACTTACGACAGTTGTAGCACTACGACTGTCATACCTCCTATACTGTAACACAGACTTATGACAGTTGTAGCACTACGGCTGTCATACCTCCTATACTGTAACACAGACTTACGACAGTTGTAGCACTACGGCTGTCATACCTCCTATACTGTAACACAGACTTATGACAGTTGTAGCACTACAGCTGTCATACCTCCTATACTGTAACATAGACTTACGACAGTTGTAGCACTACGGCTGTCATACCTCCTATACTGTAACACAGACTTACGGCAGTTGTAGCACTACGGCTGTCATACCTCCTATACTGTAACACAGACTTATGACAGTTGTAGCACTACGACTGTCATACCTCCTATACTGTAACACAGACTTATGACAGTTGTAGCACTACGGCTGTCATACCTCCTATACTGTAACATAGACTTACGACAGTTGTAGCACTACGGCTGTCATACCTCCTATACTGTAACATAGACTTACGACAGTTGTAGCACTACGGCTGTCATACCTCCTATACTGTAACATAGACTTCACGACGGTTGTAGCACTACACGGCTGTCATACCTCCTATACTGTAACACAGACTTACGACGGTTGTAGCACTACGGCTGTCATACCTCCTATACTGTAACATAGACTTCACGGCAGTTGTAGCACTACGGCTGTCATACCTCCTATACTGTAACACAGACTTACGACAGTTGTAGCACTTCGGCTGTCATACCTCCTATACTGTAACATAGACTTCACGGCAGTTGTAGGCTACGGCTGTCATACCTCCTATACTGTAACATAGACTTATGACGGTTGTAGCTTCACGGCTGTCATACCTCCTATACTGTAACACAGACTTATGACAGTTGTAGCACTACGACTGTCATACCTCCTATACTGTAACACAGACTTATGACAGTTGTAGCACTACGACTGTCATACCTCCTATACTGTAACACAGACTTATGACAGTTGTAGCACTACGACTGTCATACCTCCTATACTGTAACACAGACTTATGACAGTTGTAGCACTACGACTGTCATACCTCCTATACTGTAACACAGACTTATGACAGTTGTAGCACTACGGCTGTCATACCTCCTATACTGTAACATAGACTTACGGCAGTTGTAGCACTACGGCTGTCATACCTCCTATACTGTAACATAGACTTACGGCAGTTGTAGCACTACGGCTGTCATACCTCCTATACTGTAACACAGACTTACGACAGTTGTAGCACTACGACTGTCATACCTCCTATACTGTAACACAGACTTACGACAGTTGTAGCACTACGACTGTCATACCTCCTATACTGTAACACAGACTTATGACAGTTGTAGCACTACGACTGTCATACCTCCTATACTGTAACACAGACTTATGACAGTTGTAGCACTACGGCTGTCATACCTCCTATACTGTAACACAGACTTACGGCGGTTGTAGCACTCGACACGGCTGTCATACCTCCTATACTGTAACATAGACTTACGGCAGTTGTAGCACTACGGCTGTCATACCTCCTATACTGTAACACAGACTTATGACAGTTGTAGCACTACGGCTGTCATACCTCCTATACTGTAACACAGACTTACGACAGTTGTAGCACTACGGCTGTCATACCTCCTATACTGTAACACAGACTTACGACAGTTGAGCAGTTGTAGCACTTCGACTGTCATACCTCCTATACTGTAACACAGACTTATGACAGTTGTAGCACTTTCGGCTGTCATACCTCCTATACTGTAACACAGACTTATGACAGTTGTAGCACTACGACTGTCATACCTCCTATACTGTAACACAGACTTATGACAGTTGTAGCACTACGACTGTCATACCTCCTATACTGTAACACAGACTTATGACAGTTGTAGCACTACTGGCTGTCATACCTCCTATACTGTAACACAGACTTACGGCAGTTGTAGCACTACGGCTGTCATACCTCCTATACTGTAACACAGACTTATGACAGTTGTAGCACTACGGCTGTCATACCTCCTATACTGTAACACAGACTTATGACAGTTGTAGCACTACGGCTGTCATACCTCCTATACTGTAACACAGACTTACGGCAGTTGTAGCACTACGACTGTCATACCTCCTATACTGTAACACAGACTTATGACAGTTGTAGCACTACGGCTGTCGTACCTCCTATACTGTAACACAGACTTACGACAGTTGTAGCACTACGGCTGTCATACCTCTATACTGTAACACAGACTTATGACAGTTGTAGCACTACGGCTGTCGTACCTCCTATACTGTAACACAGACTTACGGCAGTGTAGCACACTACGGCTGTCATACCTCCTATACTGTAACACAGACTTACTGCAGTTGTAGCACTACTGCTGTCATACCTCTTATACTGTAACACAGACTTACGGTAGTTGTAGCACTACGGCTGTCGTACCTCCTATACTGTAACACAGACTTGCTGCAGTTGTAGCACTACGACTGTCATACCTCCTATACTGTAACATAGACTTACGGCAGTTGTAGCACTACGGCTGTCATACCTCCTATACTGTAACATAGACTTACCCTATACTGTACAGTTGTAGCACTACGACTGTCATACCTCCTATACTGTAACACAGACTTACGACAGTTGTAGCACTACGGCTGTCATACCTCCTATACTGTAACATAGACTTATGACAGTTGTAGCACTACGGCTGTCATACCTCCTATACTGTAACACAGACTTACGACAGTTGTAGCACTACGGCTGTCATACCTCCTATACTGTAACATAGACTTACGGCAGTTGTAGCGCTACGGCTGTCATACCTCCTATACTGTAACACAGACTTACGACAGTTGTAGCACTACGGCTGTCATACCTCCTATACTGTAACATAGACTTATGGCAGTTGTAGCACTACGGCTGTCATACCTCCTATACTGTAACATAGACTTACGACAGTTGTAGCACTACGGCTGTCATACCTCCTATACTGTAACACAGACTTATGACAGTTGTAGCACTACGGCTGTCGTACCTCCTATACTGTAACACAGACTTACGGCAGTTGTAGCACTACTACTGTCATACCTCCTATACTGTAACACAGACTTATGACAGTTGTAGCACTACGACTGTCATACCTCCTATACTGTAACACAGACTTGCTGCAGTTGTAGCACTACTGCTGTCATACCTCTTATATTGTAACACAGACTTACGACAGTTAAAGCACTACAGCTGTCGTACCTCCTATACTGTAACACAGACTTGCGGCAGTTGTAGCACTACGACTGTCATACCTCTTATACTGTAACACAGACTTACGGCAGTTGTAGCACTACGGCTGTCATACCTCTTATACTGTAACACAGACTTGCTGGTAGTTGTAGCACTACGACTGTCATACCTCCTATACTGTAACATAGACTTGCGGCAGTTGTAGCACTACGACTGTCATACCTCCTATACTGTAACATAGACTTACGGCAGTTGTAGCACTACGGCTGTCATACCTCCTATACTGTAACATAGACTTACGGCAGTTGTAGCACTACGACTGTCATACCTCCTATACTGTAACACAGACTTATGCGACAGTTGTAGCACTACGACTGTCATACTTCCTATACTTTAACACAGACTTACGACAGTTGTAGCGCTACGGCTGTCATACCTCCTATACTGTAACATAGACTTACGGCAGTTGTAGTACTACGACAGCTTTGTGAAATGGGGCCCTAGCAAATTGGACATTACCTTTACAACTTTATTGATGGACTTGGGCAAACTGTAATTATCCCCTGCCTCACGTTTAGCACGAAGCGGGGGATAAAATATTAGGCTCTGTCTGTACATACATACGGATTGGAATATCTTAAGAAACGTTGACTAGATTCTTTTCATATTTGGTACCTAGGTTCATCACAGTATGCAAAAGGTTCCAGTCAGGTTTAGTGACCTTGACCTTCATTTCAAGGTCACAAGTGGACGTTAATGTTTTACGATTGTCAGCACAATATCTCAAGAACGGTTTACTGGATTTCTTCATATATGACTCCAAGCCACTTTGAAGATTACAGCATGTTAACCTGCATGTTAAGATTGTCAGCAAGATATCTCAAGAACGGTTCACTGGATTTTCTTCATAGACTTTCAAGACTTCCCTTGAACTTTTTTTGATGAGCAGTTTTCTTCTTTATTACTATTTTTGCATATATCATACACCATGGCATTCATGTCAAGGTCAAAGTCTTGAAAATATTTGTGTATTTGAACAACTACAGAGCAAGATCTCAAGAGATGTTGACTGGTCATGTGTTTGTTGCCATTTAACTTCATCTTAAACTACGACCTTCACTTTCATTACTTTTTAAGTTTGATTTGATCATTTGTGGCGGATTATGTCACCTTAGTGACAATGCTTGTTATTTAACCAGAATACATTACAACTGTAATGATGGCAACCTGTAATAAAATGTAAACCCAAGTTTTGAAAAGAAAACAGGTTGTATGGATATTCTGAGGTAGGAAAATATGTTGTGCTGTTCAGGTTTCCATAAGTCACTGTGATGGACTATGCACATCCTGTTCGTGGCAGTACCTGTCTCGTCATGTGCTCATGCTGTCCACCACTGGTTTGTCCGGTTGTCTTGCTTGGCTCCTCTCATGCAAAAATGTCATATTTTCTGACAGTTAGTATTTGATGATTGCTTTGATATTGAAGGTATTATAAATTGTTTGGCAGGAGATCGAGGACATCTGTTTTGTGACATACGCCTTGTTCAATGTGATATGGGCAACCTTGTACCTGGAACACTGGAAGAGAACCAGCTCAGAGCTTGCCTACAAGTGGGGCACTCTGGAAAAAAAGGATGAACTCATTAAGGACCCAAGACCCCTCTATAAGGTAGGAAGATTGACTAAAGTACTGACGGAAATAGAAAAAAAACCTGTTTTTAGGCTGTTACTCTGTATCCCTAAAATTTACAGAATTGCAAATAGCATATGTCGCAATAACATGAAATGCATGTGCTGCCTACGGGCACAAGGGGTCATCTCAAAGATATTTTATGCTTTCTCATGTTTGTTGAATATGTCTCATCTATTGATTGACATCTTACGTGTCTTTCTTTCATAGAGTTTATGTGGAGATATGTAAAAGAGTATGACACCCATAGAAAAGCTTAAATCAGCCTTCGCATTAAATGTCTCAAAATATATAGGTGGCATGACCACCCGATGATCGACAGGACTGGATAGTATTTGTAAATTGTTATGACATGCCGTTTGGTTCCCCAATCTATTTCCCTTAAAGGATTATCTTATCTCAGCTGATATCTCTAACACCCAGCCCAGCCCCAACCACTGTCTTGGACACCCGTCCTGACACACTTTGAGACAACCCCTCCTACCTGTTTCTTTTTATAGTGATAGTGAGACTCCATGGTAGCTACATCCTTAATAGTTTCAGTACTAAAGTTATTATTGTTTACGTCAGCTATCGTTTATAATAAAAATAAGTTTATTTTGAAATGGGTATTTAAAAAGTGTCCTTTGCAATACAGTATCATTGCACACTAATTTGCATGAAGTCATGGTCTGTTCCAAATAAGTCACTTTGGACTTAAAAACCGCTTTGCTTATTTCTGCACTAATCTCTCCTCAGTAAAGTCCTTTTTCTACTTTTCCTATCTCTCTACCACTGAGACTGTAGTGAGGCCGAACTTAGTTTAACAGATATTTCACACTTTCACATACTATAAACTACATACATTGTAGATATTAATGTGAAAAATCAGTTTTTTTTCTGTTTTCTGACAGTACTTTAGTACAGGTTCCAAACATGGTCAGGGTTGTAGAGTTAAATAGTTATTTTGAATAATTTCCATCAACCTGTGTCTTAATGTCAAAGAACTAGGTTTTTGTATTGTATGATGCAACATTGAGTGACCCAATAGTTATGGCAATAGTATTTCATTTTGTTACCTCCCTTAGTTGTGTCAGGATCAGCTGATGCTGGATTCTTGCCAGCACCATGGGTGTTACAAACCGTTTATCATTTCTTTCTTCTACAGTAGTGTTAAATCTGAAATATCGTATTCTGGTGTTTGTTATCTACTTAGCTGAACTTAGTTGTGTGAGCACAAGAACAGTTTCGTTCATGTGGGATTAAGGACACTTTCAATCATGTGGTATTCAGGACACTTTCAATCATGTGGGATTCAAGACACTTTCAATCGTGTGGGATTCAGGACACTTTCAAACATGTGGATTGAGGGTTAGAACTGGTCCAACTCACAAGGGGTCATCAACTGGAATGTGGGATTGGTGTGGATTGTGGTTGTCTACAATATCAGCATCCCAATTATCTGATCCTCATTGATTATATACCGATCACTTTTATATTACTGGAATATTACTGATAACAGTGTTAAACAACCAAGAAAACAATAACACCTGTTGTTTCAGGGCGACCTGGTAAAGAGTCCTGTCACAGGTCGGATGCAGCCATTCTACCCACCCTGGAAACGCAACTTATTTCGGTACCTTGTGAGCTTCCCTGTGATTGGCTTCTGTCTTTTCGTGGTGTTCGCTGTGATGCTGCTCATCTTCCAGCTGCAGGAGTGGGTGAATGCCCTCATCGCGTCAGATGATATCCCAGCATTCCTCCGGTTCTGCCCAAAGATCCTGCTTGCATTGTGTATAACAATTTTTGATGAACTTTACAGAGTCATTGCAGTTTGGCTGAATGATAAGGGTAAGTGATGATTTAGTGTTCCCTCGTCACAGCATGTTCAGCTTTTGATTTCCAGGTGGGAATTACTTACGTGTAGACCCTAACATTAAATGTTGTCCTATCGCTGAATTTGTATCAGTAATGTGAAACATTATTTGATAATTACTTTAATAGGCATACATAATGTTTCATCCAGATTTTAGTTGACTTTGTAGTTGTATGTGTCCCACCTGACATGGTAGTATTCTTGTTTTCCTTACAGAGAATTACCGATTGGAAGAAACATACGAAAATCAGCTTATTCTAAAACTAGTAATGGTAAGTTTGAAATATTTGTTTTATACATTGTAATGTGAACTGTGTGATTGTTTGAATATATAAGGGCAGGTATTTTTTTCATTCTCTATGATATCCAAAGTTACTTGTTAAGGCGTTAGAAGTGATGCGTAAGGTGTACAATGAGCCTGGTATTTATGTACATGTTTCCTCAGTTCCAGTTTGTCAACTCGTTCCTGTCCCTGTTCTACATCGCCTTCTACCTGCGGGACATGGACCGACTGAGAGAGGTAGGAACATGCCAGGATCTGTAGCTCTTGTTGTACCTCGGTACCAGTGATTGTCGGGACAACTGTGTGGGTGCAAGGCTTCCTACGCTGATTGTGGAAGTGTACCCTAATGTGCACTCATACACTTCCGTCAACAACATTTGGGTTTTAAAGATCGGGGTGTGGTCAGTTGTTATCACCAACATGTTGTTTTGTTCTGCTTATGAACAATTAATGCAGTGATATTTTATTAATTATGCATTATATCATGATACATATCGCAACATGACCTTGTGTATTGCAGTATTTTTGTATACACTTTGAACCTCTAGTACCCACCTCTAAAGTACTGTCGGAAATGCTAGAAAAATGCTTTTTAACCTTAATACTTTGATAAAGGTGATAAATGTACTATGTTGTCAATATATCAACTCGCCTATAGTGTACCTAATTTTTATTTCAATCGATTTAACATTTCCATGCATTTAAAGGGCAGTTTACAGGAGAGAATGTGGTACCAAAACAACAACTCAAGATTTTTTCATCAGAAATCTGAAATAGTCTTTAAATTTATGCTAATAATACAGGTGGTACAAAAAATATAAATTAACGTTTTTCTTAAACAAATAAAATGTTGAATGTCTGTGTTACTTGAATTAATTATCGTTTCTTCATTGAAGAAAAATGAATATAAATGTTAAGTCTTAATCAAATAGTTTCCCATCATGCATGCACATCTTTATCACAGCGTTCACTATGGCCAATGATTTGCAGTCGATTGTTGCGAAGGTTTATAAGTTTTTTGTGCTTGAGAAAGACAGAGGTAATCCTTTCATTAGTTTAGAGAGGGTTTATTACAGAACTTGTAGAGCTGTAGGTATGTCTTACCAACAAGTTTACAATACTGTAAACAAATCGGGGCAGTGGGGTAGCCTAGTGGTTAAAGCGTTGGCTCGTCACGCCGAAGACCCCGGGTTCGAATCCCCACAAGGGTACAATGTGTGAAGCTCATTTCTGGTGTTCCCCGCTGTGATGTTGCTGGAATATTGCTAAAAGCGGTGTAAAACCAAACTCAGTCAGTCAGTCAGTGTAAACAAATCAGACAAGACAGGGACCGTCTCAAAAGCAAAACTGGGAAGCTATACCAGTGACTTCGTTAAATCTTTGGCCAATGTTTACAACTGGATTAAATTGACCGAATTACATCCATATTTTTGCACAGAAATATACTATTGACATGCAAAACATTTATTAAAACATTGCACATTTCTACAATCAATCGATAAAATAACACAAGTCATGGGATTCTTTCTCATGCACAATAATTCGTATGCTTATTTCAAAACAAACAACACACACACACACACACACACACACACACACACACACACACACACATATACAGTCAACTCTCGTTAATCCGACACTTGTGGTTGCAGAGAAATATGTCGGATTAACGAAAATGTCGGATTAATGAAAATGTTGGAAAATATCAGAAATTGTAGATCTGGTTATCGTCTTTGTTTGTAAAAACATTCACAGTAATAAATAAAAAATATAACAATACATCCTTGATATCATTTATTAACAATCATAGATGGCATAACATACATATAAAATCACATAATCAATCAGTTTCATATCGATTTAAAAATCACGTTGGCACAAAACTCACGTTTGTTTTTACCAGTCGTCGCTCTTACTCTCAGCAGCCATTATGACCCGGATGTTGAATGAGTCACTGTTTACATACAACTAGTTCCACACTAACATATGGATGTCTCGTGAACAATAATTTAAAACTTGAAATAGTCTTTGAGGGTTTTTTGTTGTTTGTTTTTTTCTGAGGTCTTCAGCATTTTAGTTTTCAAAGTGTCAATGAAGTCGAGGTCATTCACATCAAACACGTCTAAGTGGTGTGTCACAAATGTCTGCAAAGTGTTCAACAATGTTTTGACCCCAGGTAGCTGGGGAACGACTGGTTCGGTTGTCTGGTCTTCTTCAGTGTTGATTTCTTCTTCGGCAGTAGGTCGGATAATCTCGAGTATTTCATCTTCAGTCATGGCTTCCTCACATGGCAGATTTGCGTCATATTCTATGAATTCGTTGACAGGTACGGGTGCATCTGGGTATAGCTTGTCAAGAGTTTCCTGTAAATCTCGGACGTCTTCAGTAGGTTCATTATCGGGCTCAATCTGGCTGTCAGTAGGTGGCAGGATTTTCGTATGACGCCAGCAGTTGATGATTGTTGGTTGCTTCACATCTCTCCACGCTGATCGGATAAACAGTAGGGCTTGCTTGATATCAAGTGGTACTGGCGTGTCTGCGCTGGTGTTGTCAAGATGAAGTTTCATCTGCTGCTTCTTGTACAGAAGTTTCAAGTTCTTTATTATTCCTGCGTCTAGGGGCTGAATGTGGGATGTTGTATTCGGAGGCAGATAGTGAAGCTTTACGTTGTTGAGATATACGGAGGCATGGGAAGGGGTGTTGTCAATCAGCAATATCACTTGTCGTCACTGTGTGGGCATGTGCCTATCAAACTTCACAAGCCAGTATATATATATAGGTGTTGTTGGTGTGCGAAATGTGGATAGCACATGATCCCTTACATAACCGATACGTATACTATATGTACACATATTCAACATTATGAAGAAAATAATGTATTGAGATGACCCCTCACCCGAGCTTGTGCTCAGGTGTCAATTTCACCTGTCGATACCGTGCATGCTCATAACGTAACACATGCAGTTAATGTTTGTATCAAATAACGTTCCACTACCCCTTATTTTTCTAAGTTTTTGATATTTTCATATGTAAAAACACATATTAAGGCATGTCTCAAAATTTATTGCCTCGGTCTACATTAGGTAGATGTTTCTTAACGTGATATTTGTCATTTAAGTAACTGTAATACCTCTGATTTTTACATAAAAGTCAAAAAGCATTTTCCTAGCATTTCCCGACAGTACTTTAGTGGATATACATGATGGTTTGTGTCCCCAGCAACTGGCAGCGCTCCTCATCACCAGGCAGGTGATTGGCAACCTGAAGGAGGCCCTGCTGCCCTACCTGGTGTGGAAGGCCAGGCTGTTGAAGGTGGGGCTGCAGATCACTGGACAGATGTCCCCCTCAAGCCTGGACAAGGAGATCAAGGAGATGACCAGTGGGGTCAGGCAGCGACGGCGGGGACAGGTTGGAGAGGACACTGAGACAGGTGGGTTGATTGTTGGGGGCAGGGACAAGTGGGAGAGGACACGGAGACAGGTGGGTTGATTGTTGGGGGCAGGGACAGGTGGGAGAGGACACGAAGACAGGTGGGTTGATTGTTGGGGACAGGGACAGGTGGGAGAGGACACGGAGACAGGTGGGTTGATTGCTGGACACAGGTGGGACAGGTTGGTTGATTGCTGGACACAGGTGCTCAGATGTCCTTGTTATAATACTCTAAAATCAACTTCCACTTCTCTAAATCATCCATACTGAGGATCACTGAAAATGTCGTCTGCTAGCAAGTAAACAAAGGGGGATAACTCTTCACAAACTAATGAAAAAGGATGAAGGGAGTTGTCTCTCTTGAATGAAACCAAGCACTTGATAGCTGGACAAGGTTGTTTATACTAGAAATCCAATTAAACATACTAAAATTCTCAATAATTTCTGGTCATACTATAATTTAAAAATAATGGCACTATATGGACAATACACAATATTAAAACAGGCTATAGAGGGAGGTTGGTTGATTGTTGGGCACAGGTGCTAGAGGACATGGAGGGAGGTGAGTTGATTGCTGGGGGCAGGGACGGGTGAGGCATTTACTGTGGTGTAGTATAGGGTGGCAGGAACTAAATTAATGTGGGTAGGTATTGGTGATAGCTGTTAGGGGAGTAAGGGAGACGTGTGATTTAGTTATTATGTGGTGTCACTCATCCAAGTCCTGTCCGTAATGACCGGCCTTAAGCACAAATTGTAGATTATTGTCACGAAGTTAATGAGGTGGCATCTTTTGTTGACAGTTGACAACAGCCCTGAACAGGAGCAGGTTGAGACGGAACCCAGTCCTGGAGATGTAGGTGAGGAAAGTCTCCAGCAGTGTCTGGCCAACAACATCCTACACAAGGAGAAGCAGGAGGACCCTGTCATAGAGACGACTCAGTCCCCCCTCGGGGAGAAGATGAGTGGACCAACACTCACACAGGCAGAGGTTGAGAGTGCCATGAAGAAGGTGAGTAGATAGGAGGTGGGCTGAGTAGATGGAAGATGGGGTGAGTGGATGGAAGGTGGGGTGAGTAGATGGAATGTGGGGTGAGTAGATGGAATGTGAGGTGAGCAGATGGAATGTGGGGTGAGCAGATGGAATGTGGGGTGAGTCAATGGAATGTGGGGTAAGTAGATGGAATGTGAGGTGAGCAGATGGAAGGTGGGGTGAGCAGATGGAAGGTGGGGTGAGTAGATGGTAGGTGGGTCGAGTAGATGGGGTGAGTAGATGGAATGTGGGGTGAGTAGATGGAATGTGGGGTGAGTAGACGGAATGTGGGGTAAGTAGACGGAATGTGGGGTGAGCAGATGGAAGGTGGGGTGAATGTGGGGTGACTAGATGGTAGGTGGGGTGAGTAGATAGATGTGGGTGAGTAGATGGAATGTGGGGTGAGTAGATTGAAGGTGGGGGTGAGTAGATGGAATGGTGGGGTGAGAAGGCGGAATGTGGGGTGAGCAGATGGAAGGTGGGGTGAATGTGGGGTGACTAGATGGAAGGTGGGGTGAGTAGATGGAATGTGGGGTGAGCAGATGGAAGGTGGGGTGAGTAGATTGAAGGTGGGGTGAGAAGATGGAAGGTGGGGTGAGCAGATGGAAGGTGGGGTGATCAGACGGAATGTGGGGTGAGTTGACGGAATGTGGGGTGAATGTGGGGTGAGCAGATGGAATGTGGGGTGAGTAGATGGAATGTGGGGTGAGGATGTGGGGTGAGGGGCGGAATGTTGGGTGAGCAGGAATGTGGGGTGAGCAGATGGAATGGAATGAGTAGATGTGGGGTGAGCAGATGGAATGATAGATGGAATGTGGGGTGAGCAGATGGAAGGTGGGGTGATCAGGCGGAATGTGGGGTAAGCAGATGAAATGTGGGGTGAGGGAGATGGAATGGTGGGGTGAGGAGAGATGGAATGTGGGGTGAGTAGGCCGGAATGTGGGGTGAGGCGGAAGGTGGGTGAGCAACAGATGGAAGGTGGGAGTGAAGTCGATGGAATGTGGGGTGAGTAGAAGCGGAATGTGGGGTGAGGAGATGGAAGGTGGGAGTGATCAAGGTGGAATGTGGGGTAGAAAGATGGAATGTGGGGTAAGCAGATGGAATGTGGGGTGAGAGGAGATGGGAATGTAGGGTAGTAGATGGAATGGGAGGGTGGAATGTGTGGGGTGAGCAGATGGAATGTGGGGTGAGCAGATGAAATGTGGGGTGAGCATGGAATGTGGGGTGAGTAGATGGTAGGTGGGGTGAGCAGATGGGAGTTAGGGTGAGAGCAGATGGAATGTGGGTGAGTAGAAATAGAAGACGGAATGTGGGGTGAGGAGATGGAATGTGGGAGTAAGAAATAGATGGAAGGTGGGGGTAGTGGATGGAATGTGGGTGAGCAGATGGAAGCTGGAATGAATAGATGGAAGGTGGGGATAGTGGATGGAAGGTGGGATGAGATGGAGATGGGAGAGTAGATGAGAGAGATGGGTGGGATGAGAGATGGGTGAGTGGATGGAAGAGTGGATGAGTAGATGGGAGAAGGGTGGGTAGAGGGAGGGGGTTGATGAGGAGATGGGAGAAGGGTTGAGTTGATGGGAGAGTGGTGAGTGGGTGGATGAGTAGATGGGAGTTGGGGAAAGTGGATGGGAGACAGGTGAGTTGATGGGAGGTGGGATGACTACATGGGTGAGGGGTGAGTGGATGGGAGATGAGGAGCGTGAAAAGAAGGTGGGGTGAGAAGTAGTGGTGTTCCGATTGATGGAAATAATCGATGGGAGAAGGGTGGATAGATGGAAGGAGGGGTGAGTTGATGGGAGAGGGGTGAGTGGATGGAAGGAGGGGTGAGTGGATGGAAGGAGGGGTGAGTGAGGTGAAATTGGGTTTTACGTCGTGCTTGACAACATTTCGCTCATATGACGACGTGCATGCATGTGTATGTGTATGTGCGGCTGCTTGTACTAGCCCAGATTTAAGCTGGTTTTATAGTGCTAGCCCACTGAGATACCATGCCACAGTGAAGCATGAATACCCCACTCGAACACATTATACTGACTCCAAGCCAACCAGTCCTTCTTGTACCCATTAATGACGAGCGCCAGACAGGGACCAATAAGTACCATATTTAATGTCTTTTGGTATGACACGGTCGGGGATTGAACCCGCGACCTTCCGCTCTCGGGGCGGACGCTCTAACCACTACACCACGGAGTCGGTCTGGGTGGATGAGTTAATGGGAGAGGGGGAGAGTGGATGGGAAATGGGTGGTGGAAATAGGTGGTAAGAGTTGTAATGTCTGTTTCCTACATATTGACTGACATGCATGATAGAGTTGTAATGTCTGTTCCCCAGTATGAGGACACATACGAAGACTACCTGGAGATGTTCATCCAGTTTGGCTATGTGACACTCTTCTCCTCGGCTTTCCCTCTGGCAGCACTGTGTGCCCTGCTGAACAACGTCATTGAGATCCGGAGCGATGCCTTCAAGCTTTGTGTCAACCATCAGCGCCCGTTTGGGAAACAGGTGGAGAACATTGGCATCTGGCAGGTAGGTCATCACCGGCTGTGTAAGAATAACTATGTGGTGGTTCGTCACTGTAATCATGACACTGTAAATGTGGACAACTTTCCACCAGCTCAGCAAACCTATTCAGAACACAAGGCAATTTCTACACTTGCATTGCTGCGAACTTCCACTGCAACCAGTACTCATTACCATTCCCGTGGCAGTTGTCTGTCATCCTTCCCTGACAAGGGAGAGTCATTTTCATGCCATCAGCCACTACTGTGGCATGCTCCATCCTCCATGGTGTAGTGGTTAGAGCGTCCGCCCAGAGAGCGGAAGGTCGCGGATTCGATCCCCGACTGCGTTATACCAAAAGACGTTAAAATATGGTACTTGTTGGTCCCTGTCTGGCGCTCGGCATTAATGGGTACAACAAGGACTGGTCGGCTTGGAGTCAGTATAATGTGTCTGAGTGGGGTATTCATGCTTCACTGCGGCATGGTATCTCAGTGGGCTAGCACTATAAAACCAGCTTCAGTCTGGGCTAGTACAAGCAGCTGCACATACACATACACATGCATGAACGTCGTCATATGAGCGAAATATTCTTAAGTACAACATTAAACCCAACTTCACCTCACCTCACCATGCTCCATCCAGTATCAGGCAAATGATGTACAGATGGAATATTGCTGGCTGAGGCAGCAACAACAGACTCTCACATACTCAGTTCAAATGTTATGTTCAAAAGGTAAATAATCCAACAACAAAGTCGACATTGGAAATTTGGTAGTCCAGCTGTTTGTGCAAGAATGTGATTGGACATTGATTGTTTGGGCAGGATGCCTTAGAGGTGATGGGAGTGATTGCCGTCATTGTCAACTGTGCTCTGATTGGGATGTCCGGACTGACACACAGGATGATGCCCAACATGGATGACACCACCACCATCATCATCATCATTGTACTTGAAGTAGGTGACATCATCATCATTGTACTTGAAGTAGGTGACATCATCATCATTGTACTTGAAGTAGGTGACATCATCATCATTGTACTTGAAGTAGGTGACATCATCATCATTGTACTTGAAGTAGGTGATACCATCATCATTGTAATTGAAGTAGGTGATACCATCATCATTGTACTTTGAAGTAGGTGATACCATCATCATTGTACTTGAAGTAGGTGACATCATCATCATTGTACTTGAAGTAGGTGACATCATCATCATTGTACTTGAAGTTGGTGACATCATTATCATTGTACTTGAAGTAGGTGACATCATCATCATTGTACTTGAAGTAGGTGACATCATCATCATTGTAATGCTTGAAGTAGGTGATACCATCATCATTGTACTTGAAGTAGGTGACATCATCATCATTGTACTTGAAGTAGGTGACATCATCATCATTGTAATTTTGAAGTAGGTGACATCATCATCATTGTACTTGAAGTAGGTGATACCATCATCATTGTACTTGAAGTAGGTGACATAACCATCATTGTACTTGAAGTAGGTGACATCATCATCATTGTACTTGAAGTAGGTGACATCATCATCATTGTACTTGAAGTAGGTGACATCATCATCATTGTACTTGAAGTAGGTGATATCATCATCATTGTACTTGAAGTAGGTGATACCATCATCATTGTATTGAAGTAGGTGACATCATCATCATTGTACTTGAAGTAGGTGACATCATCATCATTGTACTTGAAGTAGGTGACATCATCATCATTGTACTTGAAGTAGGTGACATCATCATCATTGTAATTTGAAGTAGGTGACATCATCATCATTGTACTTGAAGTAGGTGATACCATCATCATTGTACTTGAAGTAAGGTGACATCATCATCATTGTACTTGAAGTAGGTGACATCATCATCATTGTACTTGAGGTGAGGTAGGTGACATCATCATCATTGTACTTGAAGTAGGTGATACCATCATCATTGTACTTGAAGTAGGTGACATCATCATCATTGTACTTTGAAGTAGGTGACATCATCATCATTGTAATTGAAGTAGGTGACATCATCATCATTGTACTTGAAGTAGGTGACATCATCATTGTGTGCTTGAAGTAGGTGACATCATCATCATTGTACTTGAAGAAGTTGATGATCATCATTGTACTTGAAGTAGGTGACATCATCATCATTGTAGCATTTGAAGTAGGTGATATCATCATCATTGTAATTGGAAGTAGGCGATCATCATCATTGTACTTGAGTAGGTGACATCATCATCATTGTACTTTGAAGTAGGTGATATCATCATCATTGTACTTGAAGTAGGTGACATCATCATCATTGTACTTTAAAGTAGGTGACATCATCATCATTGTAAGTTGAAGTAGGTGATATCATCATCATTGTACTTGAAGTAGGTGACATCATCATCATTGTACTTGAAGTAGGTGATATCATCATCATTGGTACTTGAAGTAGGTGACATCATCATCATTGTACTTGAAGTAGGTGACATCATCATCATTGTACTTGAAGTAGGTGACATCATCATCATTGTACTTGAAGTAGGTGACATCATCATCATTGTACTTGAAGTAGGTGATATCATCATCATTGTACTAGTGGTAGGTGACATCATCATCATTGTACTTGAAGTAGGTGACATCATCACCATTGTACTTGAAGTTGGTGATATCATCATCATTGTACTTGAAGTAGGTGACATCATCATCATTGTACTTGAAGTAGGTGACATCATCATCATTGTACTTGAAGTAGGTGACATCATCATCATTGTACTTGAAGTAGGTGACATCATCATCATTGTACTTGAAGTAGGTGACATCATCATCATTGTACTTGAAGTAGGTGACATCATCATCATTGTACTTGAAGTAGGTGACATCATCATCATTGTACTTGAAGTAGGTGACATCATCATCATTGTACTAGTGGTAGGTGACATCATCATTGTACTTGAAGTAGGTGACATCATCATCATTGTACTTGAAGTAGGTGACATCATCATCATCATTGTACTTGAAGTAGGTGACATCATCATCATTGTACTTGAAGTAGGTGACATCATCATCATTGTACTTGAAGTAGGTGACATCATCATCATTTGTACTTGAAGTAGGAGACATCATCATCATTGTAAGCGAGGTGAAGTAGGTGACATCATCATCATTGAAGAAGGTGACTTGAAGTAGGTGAAGTTGATCATCATCATTGTACTTTTGAAGTAGGTGACATCATCATCATTGTACTTGAAGTAGGTGACATCATCATCATTGTACTTTGAAGTAGGTGACATCATCATCATTTTTGATATTGAAGTGGTAGGCGATATCATCATCATTGTACTTGAATTGTACTAGTGGTAGGTGACATGGTTATCATTGTACTAGTGGTAGGTGACATGGTTATCATTGTACTAGTGGTAGGTGACATGGTTATCATTGTACTAGTGGTAGGTGACATGGTTATCATTGTACTGTAGGTAGGCAGCATATCATCACTGTACTGGAAGTTGTTGTCATGGTGTTTAGCAACTTGTGCTTGTCATGAGAGGCGACATATGGGATTGGTTTGTCAAACAACATGGTTGATGTATGCCAGTGTAGCCCAATACAAGTGCCAGATCAGAAAGCCAGAAGACTACAAAACTTGAGAACTGTGTGTTTTATACATCTGTTGTGTGTTTGTTGCAGCATCTCATCCTGTTGCTCAAGTTCTCTATTGCCTTTGCTATTCCGGACATCCCTGACTGGGTCGCGCTGGAAATGGCCAAGGTGGAGTTCCAGAGGAGAGAGGCCCTCAAGGTTGGTTATTGAACACAGTCTCTATTTACACGGGGTATGGTGGCCTCACAGTGGCTTATGGTGGACTAAAATTGGGATATAGTGGACTCACAATGGGATATAGTGGTTTTACAATGGGATAAAGTGGACTCACAATGGGATATAGTGGTTTTACAGGGGGATATAGTGGTTTTGCAATGGATTATTGCCGACTCACAATGGGATATAGTGGTTTTACAATGGGATATAGTGGTTTTACAATGGGATATAGTGGTTTTACAATGGGATATAGTGGACTCACAATGGGATATAGTTGTTTTACAATGGGATATAGTGGTTTTATAATCGGATATAGTGGTTTTGCAATGGGATATAGTGGACTCACAATGGGATATAGTGGTTTTACAATGGGATATGGTGGACTCAAAATGAGATATAGTGGTTTTACAATGGGATATAGTGGTTTTACAATGGGATATAGTGGACTTTACAATGGGATATAGTGGTTTTACAATGGGATATAGTGGTTTTACAATGGGATATAGTGGTTTTACAATGGGATATAGTGGACTCAAAATGGGATATAGTGGTTTTACAATGGGATATAGTGGACTCACAATGGGATATAGTGGTTTTACAATCGGAATATATAGTGGTTTTGCAATGAGATATAGTGGACTCACAATGGAATATAGTGGTTTTGGAATGGGATATAGTGGTTTTACAATGGATTATTGCGGACTCACAATGGGGTATAGTGGTTTTACAATGGATTATTGCGGACTCACAATGGGGTATAGTGGTTTTACAATGGGATATAGTGGTTTTACAATGGGATATGGTGGACTCAAAATGGGATATAGTGGTTTTGGAATGGGATATAGTGGTTTTACAATGGGATATAGTGGATTTACAATGGGATATAGTGGTTTTACAATGGGATATAGTGGTTTTACAATGGGATATAGTGGTTTTACAGGGGATATAGTGGTTTTGCAATGGATATAGTGGACTCACAATGGGATATAGTGGTTTTACAATGGGATATAGTGGTTTTACAATGGGATATAGTGGACTCACAATGGGATATAGTTGTTTTACAATGGGATATAGTGGTTTTATAATCGGATATAGTGGTTTTGCAATGGGATATAGTGGACTCACAATGGGATATAGTGGTTTTACAATGGGATATGGTGGACTCAAAATGAGATATAGTGGTTTTACAATGGGATATAGTGGACTCACAATGGGATATAGTGGTTTTACAATGGGATATAGTGGTGGGGATATAGTGGTTTAACAATGGGATATAGTGGTTTTACAATGGGATATGGTGGACTCAAAATGGGATATAGTGGTTTTACAATGGGATATAGTGGACTCACAATGGGATATAGTGGTTTTACAATGGGATATAGTGGTTTTACAATGGGATATAGTGGACTCACAATGGGATATAGTGGTTTTACAATGGGATATAGTGGTTTTATAATGGGATATAGTGGTTTGGTTTTTGCAATGGGATATAGTGGACTCACAATGGGATATAGTGGTTTTACAATGGGATATGGTGGAGTCAAAATGGAGTAAATATAGACAATGGGATATAGTGGTTTTACAATGGGATATAGTGGACTCACAATGGGATATAGTGGTTTTACAATGGGATATAGTGGTTTTACAATGGGATATAGTGGACTCACAATGGGATATAGTGGTTTTACAATGGGATATAGTGGTTTTGCAATGGGATATAGTGGACTCACAATGGAATATAGTGGTTTTGGAATGGGATATAGTGGTTTTACAATGGATTATTGCGGACTCACAATGGGGTATAGTGGTTTTACAATGGGATATAGTGGTTTTACAATGGGATATAGTGGACTCACAATGGAATATAGTGGTTTTACAATGGGATATGGGGATATATATAGTGGTTTACAATGGATTATTGGGACTCACAATGGGATATAGTGGTTTTTGCAATGGATATAGTGGACTCACAATGGGATATAGTGGTTTTACAATGGGATATAGTGGTTTTACAATGGGATATGGTGGACTCACAATGGGATATAGTGGTTTTGGAATGGGATATAGTGGTTTTACAATGGGATATAGTGGTTTTACAATGGGATATAGTGGTTTTGGAATGGGATATAGTGGACTCACAATGGGATATAGTGGTTTTACAATGGGATATAGTGGTTTTGCAATGGGATATAGTGGACTCACAATGGGATATAGTGGTTTTACAATGGGATATAGTGGTTTTACAATGGGATATAGTGGACTCACAATGGGATATAGTGGTTTTGCAATGGGATATAGTGGACTCACAATGGGATATAGTGGTTTTACAATGGGATATAGTGGTTTTACAATGGGATATGGTGGACTCAAAATGGGATATAGTGGTTTTGGAATGGGATATAGTGGTTTTACAATGGGATATAGTGGTTTTACAATGGGATATAGTGGACTCACAATGGGATATAGTGGTTTTACAATGGATTATTGCTTGGACTCACAATGGGGTATAGTGGTTTTACAATGGGATATGGTGGACTCACAATGGGATATATTGGTTTTACAATAGGATATAGTGGTTTTACAATGGGATATAGTGGATTTGCAATGGGATATAAAGGGACTCACAGTGGGATATAGTGGTTTTACAATGGGATATAGTGGTTTTACAATGGGATATAGTGGACTCGCAATGGGATATAGTGGTTTGACAATGGATTATTGCGGACTCACAATGGGGTATAGTGGTTTTACAATGGGATATGGTGGACTCACAATGGGATATATTGGTTTTACAATAGGATATAGTGGTTTTACAATGGGATATAGTGGACTCACAATGGGATATAGTGGTTTTACAATGGGTTATAGTGGACTCACAATCGGATATTGTGGAGCATTTATCTTATTGTGGCCTACAGGTCATTAGTTGCATTTAGTTGTGCGCAGTGCTTTCCGTGAAGGCTCAATGGCCAGTTAAATCCTCGTCAAAAAGCATTCTGTACAACGGAAACACACTAAACCTCAGCACACTGACCACTGTTTGAACACAGGGACAGTTGTACATTCGATATAAGTAGAACGATATTGGCAGCACCTGGCCAGCTTGTCGTCTTTCTATTACAAGTTATTTCCTTTACTCTTTCTACCCCCTAAGTTGAAGCCAGTATAGAATATTGCCATAAAATAGTCATTTTTCACACTGTTAAGTATTGTAGTTTTTGAAGATTAATGTATAGGTCTAAGACTGATTAAGATTGTACATGTTTCACAACCAATTTTCATTGTATAATTCATGAATTCTTCAATCTAACATTTTTGTAGAGACTTGAAGCTCAGACATCACCAGGACTTAACTCTCCAGACATAAGACGTCGCTGTCCGTCTGAAAACCTATCAGATAGTCCTCGCCAGAGCAGACCGCCAGACAGTCCCAGGAACTCGAACCTGGTGCCTTCTACCCTCCCTGGGCTCCGGCCTTGCCCTCAAGCTGCTCCCCAACCTCCCCACAGGGGGTCTCTCGCTCAAGGTGCAGGAAGGGGGACCAGTTCTCCACCTCATAGTCACTGTCCATCTATTCCATCACGCTCACCAATTGTGCGTAGTCCAGATCATAGAGGTCAGGTCAGTAGTTCTCAAAAACGGCAGCATCCAAGCACTGATCCTTGGAGCCAGGCTCAAGGTGAAGGTGAGGTGCAAGGTTATTCATCAGAGCTTAGAGGTCACCTTGGTGGTAGATCTGTGCCCAGAAGTCAATCATCGTCGTCCATTCAGATGTCCAACTCACCTCCAGGTGGTGTTAGGTGTCGTAGTGTCCCAAAGTCTCCCCCAGAGGCTGTGTCTGAGTCTTTGAACAAACCAAGTCATCAGTCAAAGGAGGGCCTGGAGAGGTCCTGTGATGGATCAAGTGTTGATATTCAGAGACACGCCTCTCAATCCTCCAACAGAATGGAATCTGTAAGAGGAACTACCAGGAAGTCATCTGATTCACAGTTTCATCTGTCATCTTACAGATCAGAGCAGATGATGAATGCTCAGAACTCTGATGCTCGACGTATAGTCACACGACGTACGTCAGATTCTCATATCCTCTCTCAGTCTTCCTCCATCTCATCCCAATCCCCAGATCACAATCCTCATTTGAGTTCTCGGTCCGAGTCACCTGAAATCATTCCAGAATTAGGAAACAGTTTCAGGAGTGAACGAGACTTCATGACAGTTATTCCAGGAGGAAGCGTCATCCAGCGCCGACCACAGGCGGCGGCAAGTGACTCCCAGTCCAGGAACGATGCTAGCTCCAGCTAGGTTGTGGCCATGTCATGAGTTGCAGCTTCACAGTGACAGTAACAGCAGTACCCTTTGTTGCTAGGTAACAGCAAGGTGCTTCTCATGACCTCTCCATCAAGATGAATGCTTCTGGTGTTGGTGTTGAAGAACATGTTTAACTTTTCATGATTTGTGGGGGATGTGTCAAGACTTTTATGTGGCATGGATCAATATCAATGAGCTTTAGTTTTGACATTCATGAACCCCCTGAGATGAAGCTGGGCAGCACTGATGATAACAAGACAAATATCAGAATGCCGTTTTTTGTTTTTCCAAAACACGCATGAATGTTTGAACTATATTGTTATGTCCAGAAAAGGCATTTTCCTTGTACAGTGACAATTTGTTCACTTTAACTTGACACATCAGATTAACTTTATAGTTTTGGTGCTTTATTGGCGCTGTTTACTATCAGCACTTGCCTTGACCTACGATGTACATATTCCTCTTTATGTTGGGCTAGCGTTGTATGGACTGATTTTGTCTCTACTGACTAAGGTGAACGTTATGGAGTTCCTCGAAGGGAACTTGATTCATATAAATTTGAGATTTTGTTTGTTGTCAAAAAGATTATTAATGTGTAAAAGACTGTCATTGATGTGTTCCATTTTTCACAACCCTAGGCTATCTTGTGATGTTGTTGGTATGTCTTCGCAAGATCAAACCTATGCTGTCGTACCTCATGAGCATGGTTTAACAGTGTTAACTTGCATCAGGGATTAAATTGTTGTTCTCTGTTGAATAAGATAAGTTTACAAATAGACCCAGGGTCAGAGTCAACTTAAGATTATACCTGAAGGGTTTGACATTTTTGTAATTTGTGCTAGAGGCATGTGCTGCTATGAATGACGTTCATTGTCCTAGTATTTAAGAATTATCTCCTACTTACCTGATTGAGCATAATATGATTGTATGCCAGTCTGTCCCTGGAATGTAGTGGACTGTCAGGTAGTATGTTTTCATTTTATATCATTTGGATGAAACTATGATGCCGCTAGATATCTAACTACTTCCTTCCATTTCAGATAATGGCATTTTTCAGTGAAAGAGAATTTATAGTTTCCACTGATTCGGTTGATGTTTATAGGTTTGTAACCATCCTCCTCTATACAGTGCAGAATATCTAGGTTTGTAACCATCCTCCTCTATACAGTGTAGAATATCTCAATTCTGCTGTGATATGGATCAAATCCAATCCTTTCTCAAAATTAGGCCTGGTGTTAAAAGTGCCACCCCTGCTTCTGTTCATCTTGTAACTGGCACAGAATGCCTCTCTCAGGAGTGTATTGTGATGGTTGTTTTAAGCATTGCATGTTTTGTATCAGACTTAAAATGAAGTTGTGTTGGCATCCAGGATGTTTATTGTAGTAGCATAGGGAAACCCTCCGATCCGATCTGGCTGAAATAGTCCTGTTATACAGCCAGAGACTTGGAACTGACAGCTGAGGGAGGGGGCCTTATGTGAAACTGCATGTTCTTATTGCTCAATACATGTCCTTTCTGTACTTTGGGAACTTTCAGGCACATTCATCATGATGTACTTCGTCTTGTCAGACTTGTTTGCAAGTACCATTTTATCCGGACTTCGTCTTGTCAGACTTTTATCTGCATGTGATGCAAGTGTGTTCATCCTGTTTACTTGCACTTTGCTAGGTGTTCAGCGTTGTACACTGACTTGTACAGGTGAGACTGTTGCTGTATACAGGCCTGTGATGGTTGTACTACACATGGGCTAGGTGTTCAGCCTTGTACACTGACTTGTACAGGTGAGACTGTTGCTGTATACAGGCCTGTGATGGTTGTACTGCACATGGGCTAGGTGTTCAGCATTGTACACTGACTTGTACAGGTGAGACTGTTGCTGTATACAGGCCTGTGATGGTTGTACTGCACATGGGCTAGGTGTTGATAATGTCCACATCTTATTGCTGTTTTACTTGCTACAACACAAAATCTTTACAATATGAATTGATACTTTTTACCAAAATTGAAAATGTATGTTATTTGTTATGGAGAGTGTCACATGTTATTTGCAACATATCATATACCACAGGAAGTCATTATTCCTCATCACCTGTGTCCGGGAATCATCAAAGTACCGCCCTTCAACGTTTATAGACAGACATATATGAAATTATTTACATTCCACCCAGGCTGGGAGAAGGGTACTGATTGCTCGGACACTTATGAAAAGGGTGTATTTTATAAGTAACTTCTAAATTGTTAGTTTCACAAGTGCTGTATCAGGTTAAAATTTGCTTTAACAGTTGTACATGATGTGCCCATGAAACAGTTGTTAGGCCTTTGTATATAGAGTTTTTCTATATGGAGAAAAGATTGTTACAAAATTATTTCTCAGGGTTTTATGGTAGTTTTACAATGGTGCTCTTCTAGAATTATTTGTCTGCGTCCCTATGAGACCTTGCCTTAAGTCTTTGTATCATGTTTACAGTATCCAGTTGTCAGTTTTCTGTTGTAGTGTGGTGTTGTGGTAGTACGTGAAAGCTCACACTATATCCTGCTTAATGTAAACAGTCTAGTCATTACATGAGAAAACAGTGAGTGCCAACAACGAACATTTACACATGTATTTCACTGATACATGAAGATAAGATCCTGCCATTTGGCTCACACATTACAGGTTGATATTTTATAGTGGTATGTTATTTTACTGATATGTGAAGATAAGATCCTGCTATCTGGCTTACTCGTTACAGATTGATATTTTAAATTGGTAACTTATTTTACTTATACATGAAGATAAGATCCTGCTATCTGGCTCACTCGTTACAGGTTGATATTATATAGTGGTATGTTATTTTACTGATATGTATAGGTTAATCATCATTACAAGGTAGTTATTTAAATAAGTTTATTTAAATAACTACTGAAGTGAGGGTGATTAAACGATTTATACCACGAGGGCATACTTATTTAATACGCGTGTAATGTATTAGGCATGATGAAGATTGTCAAAATTAGTAAAAAAAAATTGTTTTTAAATAGAAATAATTGCCCTAGGGCAGTTATTCAGTTATGCTGATAAAACACTTCCAAGAACAATGGACAGAACTTTCCCTTGTGGTTTAAGAAAGGATGTCCCTGTTTTAACCAGAATTATTATCTTAATTCACAGTAATAGAATTCGCATGCAAGAACCTAAATCCCATTGTCTAATGTGAGTTGTTTTTACACCTTCATATCTTTATTGAGTCTGTCTGCGACAGTATATCTTCCAGTAGTGGAGGTTTGTGTGAGCAGTGTGTTCATGGTAACAGCGTTTTAGACAGGCAGTGTAGGAAATAGATTTCAGAAATGAAACTTTGTTGAGTAATATCATTTTGTTAGGTAATACCCAACACCACTTGATTTATAAGAGTTGTTGCTAGGTGTGGAGTCTAGAAGCTGTTACGGACAGGTGGCAGTGCCCTTTATAGACGGACACTTTGGCTGGTTGGACCAGGTTCATATATTGAATGCTCCAGTACAATATTACAATGATAAGAGGACAGACCGCAAGGACAGACCGCAAGGACACTCATGGGGCAGGTGCTTTGAGTGTTGGATGTGATGTATACATGTAGATCAGTTGTTACTGTCTATGTAGAGGTAGATGATGGTAATAATAAGATGATGATGATTATGATGATGATTTGAAGAGTTTATGTGTGCTTTCTGTCATGATGCATATTCTGCAATATAGTCTAATTAAAATCAAGATAATGTTGCAATATACATCAGCTGGTGACAAGTATTCATAATAATAGTAATGTTGCAATATACATCAGCTGGTGACAAGTGTGATAATGTTGCAATATACATCAGTGTCAGCTGGTGACAAGTACATCAGCTGGTGACAAGTGTGGGCAGGGTGAGATAATGTTGCAATATACATCAGCTGGTGACAAGTGTGGGCAGGGTGAGATAATGTTGCAATATACATCAGCTGGTGACAAGTGTGGGCAGGGTGAGATAATGTTGCAATATACATCAGCTGGTGACAAGTGTGGGCAGGGTGGGCAATATACATCAGCTGGTGAGATAGATAATGTTGCAATATACATCAGCTGGTGACAAGTGTGGGCAGGGTGAGATAATGTTGCAATATACATCAGCTGGTGACAAGTGTTGGCAGGGTGAGATAATGTTGCAATATACATCAGCTGGTGACAAGTGTGGGCAGGGTGAGATAATGTTGCAATGCTGGTGAGTGTTATCAGGGTGAGATTGTTGCCAAACTTCAGCTGGTGACTGTTGGCAGTGAGATAATGTTGCAATATACATCAGCTGGTGACAAGTGTCGGCAGGGTGAGGTTATCTCTTTTGCCAAACTTCTGACTGCAGTACACATTTTATTCTTTAGGCCACAATGAGTTCATTTTTCCAACATTTTCCACTGTGTGAGGCAGGGAGAAGTTTGTTTTTGAAAACCAGCTCTAAAAGACACCTGTTTGTACGCAAACTGTTAATAGCTGCTACTCCAATGATGATTGTTCTGTTGGTTGAGGTGTACCATTAACTCAATAAGTTAAAGGTTAAAGGTGTACATGTCCACTGTAATTCCTTCCAAGGTACTTTCTAATATGTTTTTATGTGAATATTCTTATCCTCTGGAGACTATTTGACACATGGTACTGGCACCGTATCAATCACAGTGTATAAAGAACTTGGTCTTCTTTGATATTCAGCTTCCAAAATGCTACTTAATGATACTCAAGATTGTACAAATGAAATGAGTGTTTTTGAAGAATTTCCCTTCTTAAATGACTCCAGTTATCAAAGCTTTAGCAGTTTTACATCAACTCATAGTCCCATTCATCTTGTAGTGTTAAAATGACCTATTGTTTTGTTTGCAGATCTGCAGTGCTTATCCTGGTTACTGTAACACCAGAGAATATTTAGTCCCTATGCTTGTTTTGTTATGGTTTTATTTTTCATTGCCATGTTAATTGGTTGTTTTCTTAAGTATTCCATTAATCCAGTCATAATAATGTTCTATGAGGTTTTTGTTTCGTTCATCTTTGAACATCCGTCATGTTTATGTACTTGTGACTGGTTACAATGACAGTGCCTGTTAGATTAATGATGACTAGTAGTTTTATGATGCTTCATTCAGGATTTGGGTGGTGTTTGGAATTGCCTTACAGAGTTATCTGCCCTGCAACCATGGAGACTTTATTCATACAACAGCTTCACAATAGTTTGGATATTGTTACAATCTGTGGAGTTTATTGCTACTTCAAGACTGATGTGTGTAGGAAGAGACAAGCATTGATAACACAATAAAAACAATTCTTGGTTGGTTGTATGGGGGTTTTGTCACGGAAATTAACATTGTTATCCCCTGTGACGCGTGTTGAGGGGGGTAATTAAAATGGACTCTGTCCGTGCGTGCGTCCGTCCGTGCACATTTGTCTTTTCCAGAGCAGAACTCTAAAACTGTTCAATGTTTCTTCACCAAACTTGGCGCATACATAGATCTGGTGGTGTACTGGTGCCTTTTGGTAGTTTTGGAATTCTGAATAAAATATGTTTGGCATTTCCATGGCAACAAGTTTGACTTAGACTGAAATTGGTGATAGTGCTCCTTTCTGGAGCAGAACTTTAGAAACCTTTCAATGCTCTCCTTCCACTTTTCTATATACACACCTAAATATTTGACATAATCATAACTCGTAGACATAATCATGAAGAGTATTTTGCCATTGCGGGGGATATTGATGACTTTGTCTTCTTGTTTTGACTTATTTCAAACCCATGAGCTTCCTTTATCGTTGTTTGATGATACCGAAACTCTGGAACCATGTTATAAAACAGGAAGTTTTGTATCAATCTGGATGATACCGAAAGTCTGGAACCATGTTATAAAACAGGAAGTTTTTTATCAATCTGGATGATACCGAAACTCTGGAACCATGTTATAAAACAGGAAGTTTTTTATCAATCTGGATGATACCGAAACTCTGGAACCATGTTATAAAACAGGAAGTTTTTTATCAATCTGGATGATACCGAAACTCTGGAACCATGTTATAAAACAGGAAGTTTTTTATCAATCTGGATGATACTGAAACTCTGGAACCATGTTATAAAACAGGAAGTTTTTTATCAATCTGGATGATACCGAAACTCTGGAACCATGTTATAAAACAGGAAGTTTGGTATCAATCTGAAACTTTGGGCCATAAGCCAAAATTCCAACCAGTATTGTTTAATGTGAAAGTCTGGATGAGTGAAATTCCTTTCAAACAACAATCTGTATGCTTGTTCAAATATGTGTCATCTGTGATTATTTGTAAAAAAGCGAGTGATGGCTTTGTCCATGTAATAATGAATTCACATCAACAATAACTCTAAGAGGTGGGATTACTGACCAACTGAAATAATTCCTGTCATATTATTGTTGATGTATTGGAGGACAATGCCGGACATCAGACACGGAATGATCCCCTTGGCATCAGTATTCTTCATTGTTGTTAGTATTTTTCTTCAATTATTATTTTGTTTTTCTTTCAATGTTGGTTAAGACAATCTAAGACTTATCTTTTGTAAGGTCTACCTTAGTATATATATGTTATTGAAATGTGTAACTTGTTGTGGTTGCTTGAGTACCTTGTCCAATGTAAAAATGTCAGATATACAAGTCAAGTCCCTCCATGAAGTATTCAGTGTGAACAATATTACCTTGTGTTCTTTATTCAGTATTTACAGTTTGTGTTATTTCCTTATTAGGCTTTTGTCTCATTCCTACTCCTGTCATGTGGGAGAAAATACATGATGGCTTAAAGACTCTTGAGTCTTGATTCATATATTGGGATTAAAGACTTTGTCAGGAAAGCAGTTTCAAAATAGACAAGTTTGGAATTGCACCTGATTGTGTCAGTTAGGAAGGTAGGGAGGAAGGAAGGGAGGGAGGGGATGTTTTAGAGTTCTGTTTGATCAGAAAAGTATGTTTATACACCTCTTGTATATTTCAATGTTGTGACCAGGAAAATGTTGCTGTTTTAGAAACCTTGTTCCTCCTGTGCTGTCATGCTATGTCACATTACGTCGTTCATGCATTCCACATCTTCAGCCTTATCCTGTACATTACACACTGCAGTGGTTTACATACTCCATTATCTAACAAACTCATAGCTGAGACCAACTGTTACAAAAATTATGACCAACCAAAAACAATGTTGTTATTTGTATGTATACATTGGATCTGAAGTCCATTACGAACCCTTCATAGCATAGTTTAAAATTCCAAGTATTTTTTTTTAAATTTCATAGATTTAAGGTAGCTTGTTATTACCTGATCATGGTGGTGTCATCAACCGGTTGCAATATTGGAGGCAGCCAAGTTGTGTTGGGACTGGTTGAAGTACTGGTGCAATGGTTTGACACACACAGTTATATCAGATATGTGCACTTGAATAACTTAATGCCTGGTCTCTGGATTATGTTCTGTCTAGCTATGGAAGCTGGAGCACCCTCAGTAAAACATAAACAATTCTACTCTCTTTGTTTTTATTGAGTAATGAAGACTGGTTCATACTGAAGTTGACAATATTACAACTACAGTGTTAGGTACCAAGTCTGGATCAGACAGACCACTTGTTGAGACTTGTTGAGATTCAAGCCGCCAGGTTACAAAACACACAGGCAGGTGATACTGTCACTGCTAGGTGCCTATTTTTCTGTGGTCCAGTGGACAAGGCACGTGCCCACAGTGGAAGGTCAGTGGTTCTAACCTTGGCCATGCGTCCAGACTGAAGACCCAAAACAGCACGTCCCCCATGCACGATGCTTAGATTCTATACTGACTCCACACCCACAGGTAAAGACGACACCCAAAAGAGATAGTATTCAACTTTTAATGAAAACAGTGTGGTGCACTGTCATTGTATATGTACAGAAGATTAACAGCATGTACATCACACAGCTGTGTACACTCATCAATGTACTTTCCATTAAACTATTTACAAATAGATTACACTACTCTGATTACAAACACCAGTAATACATAAAATAAAAAGTCATACACCACATGAAGATTAAGTCAACTAATAGAACTAAATAGTTGAACTAAATTTGTAGAATGAAACAGTTTGTGTCGTTTTGGTAAGACCTAGATAGTATAATAAATGAACACAAATATTAAAGAAAGGGGAAATATGACAGTAAGTTGATGCATGTCGAAGTGTGCAGAGATTAGCACAGACTACAGAACACGTTGGATAATACTTTCACACAAGGGATACCCCTGTCCCCTCCAGAAATCATTTGTTAAACCAAGTCGGAAACAATATTAAAACACAAAACTGTTGTATATATCAACAAAACTTTAAAATATAAGTGCATAAAATGTTCATTTCAAAAGTTGGTTATTTACTACAATAACTGAAAGAAATGGAAAGTCATTTTGAGTCAAGGGTCCAATTTTACAAAACCAAGATCTATCAATCTCTTTAAAAATTGTAAACATGTTCCTAGAGTAGCAGTGTTCTGAATTGAGATGTGGGAGACTGTCCTACAAGAATATCAACCAACTGTGTGATTTCTTTGTATGTATTGTAATCAGAATACTCACGTGTAAACTTGATGGGTTAAGTACATGAAGTATGCTTGTCAGTACAAGATACAAGAGACATTCACGGTAATACTGAAAGTATTATATTCAGTACTGGCTAACATTAAAGAATATTAATTTCTGTTTATTGTAAAGCCTGGTGTTCAACCTGAGGTTTGAGGACTCCAGTCCCTCTGATCACACATCCCTGCACATGGCTGACCTGTCATACTGCTGCTGTCATGTACAGTAGAGACAAAGGTACAGGTTTTTGTTGGGAACTGTATAATATATCATGATAAATGGTGCTGATGTTAACCAAATTGATGCCATCTCCCTTCTCCTGACATTGTCATACCACCTTGTCTTGACATCCAAGTTATCCGTGTACACATCTGATCCCAGTAAACCACTGGGACATAGAATGTATCACATAGAATGTATCACTTTGATGCTCACAGACTTTCAGATCAATATTTGATTGTTTTGTCATTCTTTGAAACAAAAACAAAACAACAACAAATTTCCACACAGAAATATTGTTATCTGTGAACCAGATGAAGATTTCATGACATCCAGCTTACTGTGCTCCAACAGTTGGAATACCACTTTACAGGTCTTGATACTCAAAGAAACAAAAGAGGATAATGTTAGGTTTTGTTTAGCGTGACAAGTTCTACCCCCTTCCCAGATACTACAGCATGCAATAAATGAGTGCAAGTGAAATCTCCCACACTGGTCACACACAATCTGAGATAATCAAACTAAGGAATCTCAAAGCTGATCACACAGGAATTAGACTTTTCATAAACATTTCATCAAATGAACAAACAAACCATCTTGGTACCTGCACATACAGCTGCTTTCTCGCTCGCTCTCTCTTCAATCTATGTCAACTTCATCACAACAATTTGAAGACTTTGAAAAAACAATAGTATTGAAATGCATCCAAGATTCTGACATCCGTGCGTGAGCAATGAACTGCTAAGGAACTGCTAGGATAATATTGTGGCAGTGATATAATTTGGATATATGACTATAATACATGGCCACACCACATAGCAAGACCATCACAGTAGAGGGAACCGATGACTCTTTCAACGGGTCCATCAATCAATGTCCTTACTCTCACTACACATCAAAGCAGGCAGTTAGGTAATAAAATGTTATTATTGCTGTTCCCTAGAAGACAACATTCTCATGAAGACAGACTGCAGCGAGGAGGTAAATTACATTCATACTTCCAGTAATACGGAGACCAGTTTGCTACTGATCTTTAAAACAGACTTTAGAATATGAACACACTAATTCTGAAATATGTACTTTCATGTAAGCATTTATAAAAAACAATTAATTACAAGACATGTACAAAATGAAAATCAAAGAAAAACTATTTCAGAGATAGGCAAAGAAATGAAACGTCCCATTATTGTTTCCTCAATGTAGGAAATATATTGTACACAGATTGCCATCGCTTCGCTACTCCGGAACACGCCAGTATCACGTCAAGCTTCATCTCCACATGAAGCATAATGGTTCTTCAATATATGCTGCTCAAAGAAGTTCATGAAAACCAGATTGTTTCCTATTTCTACATATAATCTGCTGTGTTGGATTAACTATAGTAATGGGAAGCCACTGTATGGGACTCAGGCTTGTACATAAACTTTAACAAGCGACTGTTAGTTATGGGCAGGTTTTTAAGGAGAAGCAATGGTAGTGCTTCAGTTTGTTAGCGCTTCGCCGGTGTGTTTCCTGAGTGAATATTTTCAGCATCCACAATTTTACAGAAATTTGCAGTCAGAGTACCAACAAAATGTTTCTTTAGATGGAGAACACCCTGCACTATGCTGTTTCTTTAGATGGAGAACACCCTGCACTATGCTGTTTCTTTAGATGGAGAACACCCTGCACTGTGCCAATAGATATAAATATCATTCTGAGTGTCAGATATGTTCAACATGTCGTCGTTGGAGTCGGACAGACCGGTCAGTAATGCCCTATCATATGGGGACAGGTCCTCTATAATATATACTATTCACCTTTTGGCAGGGATAATCAGATATGCCATTATATTTAAATATACACTTGACATATAATGATAATCAGTTGTGAATATCATGGAAAGATAATATCCCTATAAAGAGTTGAGTTGTACAGATGAATCACAGACCACATGTATATCTCAGTTAGGAGATCTACCCTTGACCCGGACCGACAAGAACACTTGAGCAGGTCAAGTGTCACAGCTCCGAAATACCATGAATTCATATAATACAGCTTGGCCAAATTCACAACAATGTACAGAATTATTTTCACTGATACCCAAGAGATGATCTAAAGTTCCCACTTCCCATGTTAAAGAATGTGATGTTGAATGAACCAGAATTTCTCACAAACTTCAGATAATATGATTGTTTGAGATTTTCAAGGAGCAGACATTAATCTGATCTCAATTTCATGTCTGATAACAGTTACATGCAGTTCCCTTGTTATCAACTGTTCTGCACTTTGAGTTCTTCCTCTTCATACCCACTGTCCTCTTCGATGTCAGGTGTCGGGGCGCGCTGGGATCTCACATACGAGGCTGGTTTCTCTCCACGGACAACCTCATCAGTGAGAATCACAGTTGAAATGTCAGAACCAGGAACATCAAACATTGGTTCCAGAAGGATGGACTCCTGAAAACAGATGTACACTAGTTAGATATACCTTGTGGGTAACAGATGTACACTAGTTAGAAATACCTTGTGGGTAACAGATGTACACTAGTTAGAAATACCTTGTGGGTAACAGATGTACACTAGTTAGAAATACCTTGTGGGTAACAGATGTACACTAGTTAGAAATACCTTGTGGGTAACAGATGTACACTAGTTAGATATACCTTGTGGGTAACAGATGTACACTAGTTAGATATACCTTGTGGGTAACAGACACTGAAATCGAACCGAAGCGACTTTGTGGGTAATCGAAGCGACTAGTAAAGTTTTAAGTGTGAAAAATCAATGTGAGAGGATGAGGATCTCCGGGACACAACTGGAGCAGATGAAGCTAGAATCCTAAAGAGGACAGCTCAACATAGTATGATGCCCTATCACATCCTCATTTCTAGCTGCCTTACACCAAACACGGAGCAGTCCCTGGGTACTTATTCTACACCAGATCATATGCAACAAAGTAAGGACATTTTTACTCAACTGCTTAGGTGATGGTTCAAAAATATACTTCTATATTTCACAGTCTAACATCAGCTCGAGCATGCCCCACCTCCTCCCATATGTGACCTGCACATTGTGATTGACTGGCAAAGTTAAGCCATCAGTTCAGAGAGATTATTAACCTCAATCGGGCTACCGCAATACACCCCAGGGCTCGAAAAATGTTAAAATCTGCAGGGTGAGTAATATGAACTTTCCACTCGTCCTTAAATTGTACTTTCCCTATAGATCATGCATCACAATGAAACATCTGTTACATTATGGATTACACTTTCTTAGTAAAGTACAGATTCTAGTACAGTCGAGCATCGTTGTGTTGAACTCTGATAACTCGATATCTCGGTTGTCTCGACGTAACATCTCGGTCCCGGCAAAATCCTTCATAATTTATCATTATTCAAGCTCTTTTAACTCGATACGGATGTCTCGATATTTCGGATATCTCGATATAATGTGATGGTCCCAAGAAGCAAAATTACCCTTTTAACTCGATATTTGCAAAGAAACTCGATATTCGCCTACCTATCAAGGGCAAGTATCCCTCTGAACTGAGGTTGTTTCCACACGTTTACACACGGTGCGGCATGAATCAAAGGGATGCGGTAGTGTACACTAATTAGGGCTAATTGAGTTGAAGATGTCACTTGTTTGTTATTTAATTAGGATTAATTAAGAAGGAATTAATCCGGAAGTACTCACTGTTACAAATAAACACTACTGATAACAGATTATAGTTTCGAATCCAAACATACCGAGAAACGTTTTGTTTTCTTTTATAGTGATATGTGATGATATGCCCTGGTCGGATGTCTCGAAGTTCGGTTAACTTGATATTTTTTCTTGGTCCCATTAATATCGAGACAACGGTGCTCGACTGTACTGTTGTTGGGTTGAGTCCCGGGATTCGAACCCACACCCTCAGAGTCAGGCACCTAATCGCCAGCAGACAAAGTCAGACGCCTAGACCGCTCAGTCACTGCGGCTTCCACAAAATGGAAGTCGGACAACTGGTAGTCTAGACTGCGGACTTTGTGTACCCCATCTGATAAGTGTAAATTGGCACGGCTCCCATGGCCGAAAGCTATGAAATACACAATGCCATTTTAGAAAGTGGTCAAATGTAACATATGTTATATTTGGGATTACACTTTCTTAGTGAAGTACAGATTCTAGTACTTTTGTTGGGTTGAGTCCTATGCAGGATTCGAATCCACACCCTATGTATGAATGAATATAAATTTAAATTATTTTATTTCAAAATGTTTGCTTGGAATAAAACTACAAGAAACATAACTTACTTTGTCTTCTGTACAAAATTTTTGACAAAATTGAATTCGTTCACCATTTAAGATAGCTGAACTTCAAAGAAAACATACTAGTCCTCTAGGGCGAGCAAATCGTGTTTTTCACTTACCCAAAACAAATTTTACTCGTCAATACGAGCGGACGAGTGGAATTTTCGAGCCCTGCACCCTGATCTTCAAGAAACTAGACCCTTCAAAAACCAGATAGCATGTCTTCAGGTTGTCACCTTTAGATTATCATCCCTAGCCCCCTACAAAAAACATTGTTAGAAAATAGCACTGCAAAGGGGCAAACTAATCTCTGGGATCTCTGTAGAGAAGTCACCTCATAGAAGTATCAGCTAGTGAGTACGATCTCATCACCATATGACCCACATGTTCAGTGCAAACATCCCATCAGTGCCACACAAGACACTTGTCCCCCCCCCCTACTCCCATGCCATTACAGCATCTGTGACGAACTGAATAAGGGACAGGCAGGAGTCCCCTGTGTGAGGACGAGGACACAGGGTCCCTACCATGATGGAGCGCAGCCCACGGGCTCCAGTCTTCCTCTCGAGGGCCAGGGCAGCTATAGCCTTCATAGCCTCAGGCTTCACATCAAGGTGTGCCTGAAACATCCACATACTCTTTGGGGTAAAGATGGTCAGGCAGATTTACATATTTGGTGAGTGATAATGAAAGGATATGATGCATGTTTTCTAACACTGTCAAGAGTATTCTCTCTTACCAATGCAGAACTGATGTTGCTGAAAGTGTACCTCAAACATAAGTCAAGTTGGACTCTGGACTATTGTCTCCTTCACTGTGTTTGAGGGACATTGATGATACTGTTATTTCATGAAACACTACAAATTGTTCTTTCCCAGATGAGATAATGCTGTACTACTACTTTCATTGCAGTAAATTTATCAGTGTCATTTTCATTCAGACAAAACAGAATTATGTTGGCCTGACATAAATATGATGATTTTTACAATGGATGTTTGGATGTTAATCAGCCAGCCAGTGGCCTTGTGCCTCTCACCTTGTCCATGCTGAAGAGAGCCTGGTACTGTGGCACCAGGGCATTGTGTGGCTTGGTCAGGATCTCTACCAACATCTCCTCCGACAGACTGTGGAAGGGCACGATCACCGGGAGTCGACCAACGAATTCAGGAATCATGCCAAACTCTATCATGTCTCTTGCCTCTACCTGGCGTAACAGTACATCTTTCTCTTCATTCTCTGCAACAGCCGTGGCACCATCAGCCTGGTTCTTGAAGTCTGCGACAGTAGCAGCACGGCGGCCCTGGTTGGTGTTGGACATGGCGCCAAAACCCAAATACTGAAAAAAATATCAAGCATTCAAGTGTGAAATAATTCACAACCCATTTTGTGGTACATAATAACGCCTGAACAGCACATCATTTAGGGGTCATAGCCTTCTTCACATTTACCATATGATATTGTAAATGTACTCAGGATCATAAAGATCTGCTCAGACAGCTCACCAGCATTGTCACTAATACTGCAATACTGCATGCAGTCATTGTCTGGGAAAACACCATGACATGACTCCAAATGGTCCTAAATACAGGCTATTTCTCAAACACTGTAACACCAAGTGGCCGTGTGGATGCAGTGTTTCCGTTCTCCGGTATATACCTGAAAATCGCCGGTAAAATTTGTTGGGGACCGGTAAATTGAAAGCCAGCAGGACACCGTGTCCGGTAAATAATCATGTATTAAAATAAAAACATCATGGGTAAGTGAAATGACAGTCTTGGCTGTGCTTTCATGGTCACAAAAACTGTTACGCTTTGGAAATACCCAGGCTAAAAATAACTTTAAAATGAGTACTTACAATATGGTAATAGGATATGACAGGCAAATTTCATTCATGACCGGTAAAATTTTAGGTCACCAGACACAGTGTCCGATAAATAATGAAGTCAGCGGAAACACTGGGATGTGTGTAACACTGATAGCTGGCCCTGAGTGGCTATATGTTGGAGATTCTAGATCTAGTCAGGTAGTCTAGATGATCGGCTGAGAAGCTGACCTTTTCTGTTTTCCTCCTGCTGATGATTCTGTCCAGGCCGTTGAAGGCGCCTGACGCGACAAACAGGATGTTGGTGGTGTCCACCTGCACTGTCTCCCCACGCAGCTTCCGCGAATTCCGCTCTGGGACGTTGACCACAGTCCCTTCCAGCATCTTCAACATGCCCTACAGGAGACAGATTCAGGTACTAGACACCACAACACAGATGGTTAAATAATGTAGGGTACAGAAGTATCTAGACATGCTTCTCGGGTGAGAATGTTGTGATACCTATGGTTGCTGTTTTCACCTTCTCACCCCCTCTAACCCTCTTTACATCACACCTGCAGAACACCCCTCCCATTTACATCACACCTGCTGAACACCACTCCCCTTTACATCACACCTGCAGAACACCCTTCCCCTTTACATCACACCTGCTGAACACCCCTCCCCTTTACATCACACCTGCTGAACACCCCATCCCTTTACATCACACCTCTCCCTTTACATCACACCTGCAGAACACCCTCCCCTTTATCACACCTCACACCTCCTTTACAACACCCTCCCCTTTACATCACACCTGCTGAACACCCCTCCCTTTTACATCACACCCCTCCCCTTTGCATCACACCTGCAGAACACCCTCCCCTTTACATCACACCTGCAGAACACCCATCCCCTTTACATCACACCTGCTGAACACCCTCCCTTTACATCACACCTGCTGAACACCCTCCCCTTTACATCACACCTGCTGAACACCCCTCCCCTTTACATCACACCTGCTGAACACCCCTCCCCTTTACATCACACCTGCTGAACACCCTCTCCTTTACATCACATCACACCTGCAGAACACACCTCCCTCCTTTACATCACACCTGCAGAACACCCCTCCCTTTGCATCACACCTGCAGAACACCCTCCTTTCACATCACACCCACCCCTCCCTTTTAAGCATCACACCTGCAGAACACCCTCCCCTTTAAATCACACCTGCAGAACACCACTCCCCTTTGCATCACACCTGCTGAACACCACCCTTTTACATCACACCTGCTGAACACCCCTCCCCTTTGCATCACACCTGCTGAACACCCTCCCCTTTACATCACACCTGCTGAACACCCTCCCTTTACATCACACCTGCTGAACACCCTCCCTTTACATCACACCTGCTGAACATCCCTCCCCTTTACATCACACCCTCCCCTTTACATCACACCTGCAGAACACCCTCCCTTTACCTGACACCTGCTGAACACCCTCCCTTTTACATCACACCTGCTGAACACCCTCCCTTTACATCACACCTGCTGAACACCACTCCTCTTTACCTCACACCTCATGAACACCCCTCCCCTTTACCTCACACCTGGTGAACACCCCTCCCCTTTACCTCACACCTGGTGAACACCCCTCCCCTTTACCTCACACCTGGTGAACACCCTTCCCCTTTACCTCACACCTGCTGAACACCACTCCCCTTTACCTCACACCTGCTGTACACCCTCTCCCCCTAATATTTCTCACCTGCTGTACACCCTCTCCCCCGACATCTCGTAGCTGGTGGATCCCAGGGACACTGCCAATCTTGTCCACCTCATCCAGGAACACAATGCCTGTTGACAAACAATCACTCAAGTCATAAAGACACACAAGTGAAGGTAGCTGATACTCTTAATATTATTCAACACAGACTGTCAGATTAAACATAACACATACAGAACATTTAAAAGATTTTCTTCCTAATTTCCTGACCTAAACCCTTCCTCATTAGTGGTGGGTATTTCATTAAGACAATTATGAACCATCCTTAAGTAGAGTTCTACTCATGACTTATTGTCCTTCTCTTGTCACTTGGTGCAGCAGCATACCTTGTTGAGCTTTGTCAACGTTGTAGTTGGCATCTTGCAGCAGTTTGGCGATGACGGACTCGATGTCCTCTCCGACGTAGCCGGCCTGGGTGAGGGTAGTACAGTCGCAGATGGCGAAAGGCACATCCAGGCACCGGGCCAGTGTCTGGGCTAGTAGTGTTTTCCCTGGACACATGGCAACAACATAGGCATCAAACACTAAATCACACAGTTTCCTAGATTATCAGTTTGCAAATGATGTTCAAAAGTGTAATATTATATTTCACATGCAAGAAAGATAGATGTTTAGTTCAGTAAGAGTTTTCCACGCACACACAATTCTAGCAAAATGTTTTGGCAAAAGCATGGCCAAAGTAATCTTTGAGACAATGAGCCTTTACAACTTTTCAGCATGCAACAGTTGGCAATATCTGTGCAATACCATGGCAGCCAGTGGATAATTGTGACTGCCATGCTCAAGTCAGCGTTTGAAAGCATGAACAACACTACACGTTGTAGGGTACACAGACACAAAGTCAGCCATTTCACACATGGTGGCAACATGACCCTCCTCAGTGGTGGTTTGAAAGAGCTGGGTACTGGGGACCTATCCACATTCCCTGGCTATAAAACATTGATACCCTTATTTCGTTGTGGGGGAACTCACCTGACCCCTCCATGCTGGCTATGAAACATTGATACCCTTATTTTGTTGTGGGGGAACTCACCTGACCCCTCCATGCTGGCTAGGAAACACTGATACCCTTATTTCGTGGTGGGGGAACTCACCTGACCCCTCCATGCTGGCTATGAAACATTGATACCCGTATTTTGTTGTGGGGGAACTCACCTGACCCGGTTGGTCCGAGCATCAGGATGTTGCTCTTCTCCAGCCTCAGCTCATGACTCGTCGACTCCAGGATGTCAGATCGGCGGGCTGTCTCCTCTTGTTGCTGTTGCTGCTGCTGTTGCTGTTGTAGACTTGGGCCAAGCGGGTTTCCAGGGCCGCTCACAGCAATGTGTAACATGTCTGGGTAATACAGTCAAACAGTCATAGAACAATCCCTCAGTCAAACAGTCCTACAACAATCCCTCAGTCAAACAGTCCTACAACAATCCCTCAGTCAAACAGTCTACAATAATCTCTCAGTCAAACAGTCATAGAACAATCCCTCAGTCAAACAGTCCTACAACAATCCCTCAGTCAAACAGTCTACAACAATCCCTCAGTCAAAGAGTCCTACAACAATCCCTCAGTCAAACAGTCTACAACAATCCCTCAGTCAAACAGTCATAGAACAATCCCTCAGTCAAACAGTCCTACAACAATCCCTCAAACAGTCACAACAATGTCTCAGTCAAACAGTCTACAACAATCTCTCTCAGTCAAACAGTCCTACAACAATCCCTCCAAACAGTCAAACAGTCCTACAACAATCCTCTCAGTCAAACAGTCCTACAACAATCCCTCAGTCAAACAGTCCTACAACAATCCCTCAGTCAAACAGTCCTACAACAATCCCTCAGTCAAACAGTCCTACAAACAATCCCTCAGTCAAACAGTCACAACAACTACAAATAATGTCTCTGTCAAACAGTCCTACAACAATCCCTCAGTCAAACAGTCCTACAACAATCCCTCAGTCAAACAGTCCTACAACAATCCCTCAGTCAAACAGTCCTACAACAATCCCTCAGTCAAACAGTCCTACAACAATCCCTCAGTCAAACAGTCCTACAACAATCCCTCAGTCAAACAGTCCTACAACAATCCTCAGTCAAACAGTCCTACAACAATCCTCTCAAAGTCAAACAGTCCTACAAGAATCCCTCAGTCAAACAGTCAAACAATCCCTCAGTCAAACAGTCCTACAAGAATCCCTCAGTCAAACAGTCCTACAACAATCTCTCTGTCAAACAGTCCTACAACAATCCCTCAGTCAAACAGTCCTACAACAATCTCTCTGTCAAACAGTCCTACAACAATGTCTCAGTCAAACAGTCCTACAACAATCCCTCAGTCAAACAGTCTACAACAATCCCTCAGTCAAACAGTCCTACACCAATGTTTCAGTCAAACAGTCCTACAACAATCCCTCAGTCAAACAGTCCTACAAGAATCCCTCAGTCAAACAGTCCTACAAGAATCCCTCTGTCAAACAGTCCTACAACAATCCCTCAGTCAAACAGTCCTACAACAATCTCTGTCAAACAGTCCTACAACAATCCCTCAGTCAAACAGTCCTACAACAATCCCTCAGTCAAACAGTCCTACAACAATCCCTCAGTCAAACAGTCCTACAACAATCTCTCTGTCAAACAGTCCTACAACAATCCCTCAGTCAAACAGTCCTACTACAATGTCTCAGTCACATGGTCGCACTGCATTGTTACTTTATTGAAGTGCAAATAAAAGGGAGCTAACTCTCTACATCATTGTGATGATGACTTGTATACTGCACACAATACAGATGTGATGAGAGAAATATGTTTTGTCTGTTTAAACCAACAATATATCTAATCAAACATAATACTGAATGAATCAATGTTGTTTTATGCCACAGAATTATTCAAGACATTATATCCTGTGAAAATGGAACCTATTCTGGGCAAACAAATGGTCAATATCACAACAGCAAATTATTATTCATACCACAACGTGAGTAACAAATACCATTAGCCACATGATATACACCACCGTTTCTTATCTAAGTTTCTCATATGACCAGTATTGGGTATTTGGGAGTCTTCTTCACCATAATCCCTACAGGAGTAACATACAAGAAGACAAAGTCATCAATATCCCCCGCAATGGCAAAATACTCTTCATGATTATGTCTACGAGTTATGATTATGTCAAATATTTAGGTGTGTATATAGAAAAGTGGAAGGAGAGTATTGAAAGGTTTTTAAAGTTCTGCTCCAGAAAGCAGCACTATCACCAATTTCAGTCAAACTTGTTGCCATGGAAATGCCAAAAATATTTTATTCAGAATTCCCAAACTACCAAAAGACATCAGTACACCACCAGACCAATCTCTGTGCCAAGTTTGGTGAAGAAACATTGAAAGGTTTTAGAGTTCTGCTCCGGAAAAGAGCACTACTACAATTTCAGGCTAAGTCAAACTTGTTGCCATGGAAACGCCAAAAATATTTTATTCAGAATTCCAAAACTACCAAAAAGCATCAGTACACCACCAGATCTATCTATGTGCCAAGTTTGGTGAAGAAATAGTGAACAGTTTTAGAGTTCTGCTCCGGAAAAGTGTACTACCACCAATTTCAGGCTAAGTCAAACTTGTTGCCATGGAAACGCCAAAAATATTTTATTCAGAATTCCAAAACTACCAAAAGGCACCAGTACACCACCAGATCCATGTATGTGCCAAGTTTGGTGAAGAAATATTGAACGGTTTTAGAGTTCTGATCCGGAAAAGACAAATGTGCACGGACGCACGGACGGAGTCCATTTTAATACCCCCTTAGTAATGATAAGTGAGTTCATTACACATTGTCCACTGTGTTGGTAAGGAATTCACAGAAGCTCTTAGTAATGATCTTTAACTTTCTCCAACATCATTTATAGCTGAAACTAACAGCGTGTTGGTTGTGGGCGTGTTGGTTGTGGGATGGGATGTTGGTGGTGGGGATGTTGGTGGTGGGGTGGGGATGTTGGTTGTGGGATGGGATGTTGGTGGTGGGGTGGGGATGTTGGTTGTGGGGTGGGATGTTGGTTGTGGGTGAATTGGGTGTTGGTTGTGGGCGTGTTGGTTGTGGGATGGGATGTTTGGTGGGGTGGGGATGTTGGTTGTGGGGTGGGGATGTTGGTTGTGGGGTGGGGGTGTTGGTTGTGGGGTGGTGGGACTGCATCACTAGAAGTAACTTTATTTGTAAGTAAAAATGTATTTTTAGAGTTAAAATATTACCAAAGTTCATGACCTATTCTTAACATATCGATTGTCTTAAGTCAAGCAAGAGTTATACTCTATGCAAGTCTTACAAATTCACAAAATCTTTACAAAAATCTTTGTTCCAAAAGAAGATGGTTGCCCTTCTAGAAGTACTGGAATAACTTAAGAGTACATTTAGAGAACTGAATGGAATTTAATGGAGTATCAGTAATCGTGTGTTTCGTTTCATATATGCACCACAACATTGCTACTCTTGCGTAAACAGGTCAATAAACAATAAAACAATACTTTTTCAGATAAATACGTCAGTAAAAGATTCTAAGACCGTTCACCATTGCTGTGGTGCGTATCTGCTACGTTTCCTAAATTATTTCCTACTGTATCATGCTTTTTTTTTATCTGTACATACCCCGACACGGCCTTTATCTGGAGCCCTGGATGTTATTTCATACGTATCCTGACTTATACATTAAACTAACCCCAACCATCCCCACTCTCCACTATATTTTTTTATATTTAGAAATTCGAAAAAGGAGAGAGTGTTTCAATGTTTAAGCATCTAAAACCATACACACAGAAGGAGAGTAACTTTTTTTTCTGGTTACCTGCAGCTGTCTCATCCTATTTTACAACACGAACTGTTTGAGAGGCATAAGAAGACACCGCCCAAAACTTAATAGGGACCAGGGCTATTTCATCCCATCAGCTTACCACCACCTAATCCAAAACTAATTAACTCAATCTTCCTCTCTGGCTTCTCTCACTAGCCCCTTCCCCCAATTGGTCATCCCTACTCTCATTGATAATCCTAGTCATCATGATTGTATCTTGCCTCGGCTTGAATCATGTATAATTATGTGTGTTTTCATTGGTAATCATCTTGTTTATCATCCATTGTCTTTGTTAGCCCTCATGTACCTTATATATATCTTGCTGTAACCATTCACTACCCCATGCTTGAAAACGGTATATGTATCTATACCGAAACATTGCTATTGTATAATCAAGAAGTTGATCCTCCATGAAGACTTGTCATTTATACAAGTAACAGTGTGACATGCTGCATTATTATGCAAGCATATTTTTCCGGCTACCTGATTGGTCTAGAGGCGGTCACATGACCGTCGACAGAAAAGCATATTGACTCCAACACAGGTCCGACCAAAAGTCATATTGACTTGCGTTACTATGACGTCATTTTATTGTTTACATGTCACAGTATTGTTGACATAACGTTATTGGTTTGTAGTGAAAATAAAATTACTTTTCTTGACTAAAAGGACATGTTTGGATTTTAGAAGTTTTTTTCGGTAATTACATAATAAAACAATTATAGACTGGCGAATTCGGTCAATACCTGTTTTTATGGACCCGCTTTTCGCGGACTTTGTCCTCGGTCAATTTTGCTTTTCGCAGGTTCCATAAAAACAGGTATTGACTTCATCACCAGTCTATAATTGTATAATATCAGTGTCACATACTGCAATATCAGTAGCATGGAAGATACTCTAACATTCAGCAAGTAGTACTCACCTCTTGGGGAAAATGTGTTTGGGTATCGTGTTGGGTCATGCACAGTCACCTCAGTGTTCTGCTTGTTGCTGGTGTTCACCGGGAGGTTGTGGTAGATCCTCTTGTAGTGGTTGTACACTGCCACAGACAGCACTTTCTTTGCATAATCCTGGCCTACCACAAACCGGTCGAGGAACTCAAATATCTGAAATAGACACACTCATACAACTCATCTCAGAATGGAAATGTGACACAGTAAACTATCAGGTATCTCTACCTGGCCTGATACCAGAGATAGCCTCTCACTATGGGCCTGGAACTAGGTATCTCTACTGTCACTGTGGGGCCTGATACCAGAGATAAACTCTCTCACTATGGGCCTGGAACTAGGTATCTCTACTGTCACTGTGGGGCCTGATACCAGAGATAACCTCTCACTATGGGCCTGGAACTAGGTATCTCTACTGCTAGTGTGGGGCCTGATACCAGAGATAACCTCTCTCACTATGGGCCTGGAACTAGGTATCTCTACTGTCACTGTGGGGCCTGATACCAGAGATAACTTCTCACTATGGGCCTGGAACTAGGTATCTCTACTGTCATTGTGGGGCCTGATACCAGAGATAACCTCTCTCACTATGGGCCTGGAACTAGGTATCTCTACTGTCATTGTGGGGCCTGATACCAGAGATAACCTCTCTCACTATGGGCCTGGAACTAGGTATCTCTACTGTCACTGTGGGGCCTGATACCAGAGATAGCCTCTCTCACTATGGGCCTGGAACTAGGTATCTCTACTGTCAGAGATAGCCTGTGGGGCCTGATACCAGAGATAGCCCTCTCACTATGGGCCTGGGCCTGGTGGGGGGGACTGATACTAGGTATCTCTACTGCTGTGGGCCTGGAACTAGGCCTCTATACCAGAGATGAGCCTCTCTCACTATGGGCCTGGAACTAGGTGTCTCTACTGTCATTGTGGGGCCTGATACCAGAGATAGCCTCTCACTATGGGCCTGGAACTAGGTATCTCTACTGTCAGTGTGGGGCCTGATACCAGAGATAGCCTCTCTCACTATGGGCCTGGAACTAGGTATCTCTACTGTCACTGTGGGGCCTGATACCAGAGATAGCCTCTCTCACTATGGGCCTGGAACTAGGAGATAGCCTCTCTACTGGGCCTGGAACTAGGTATCTCTACTGTCACTGTGGGGCCTGATACCAGAGATAGCCTCTCTCACTATGGGCCTGGAACTAGGTATCTCTACTGTCACTGTGGGGCCTGATACCAGAGATATACCAGAGATAACCTCTCTCACTATGGGCCTCTCACTCTACTATCATGGGCCTGGAACCAGAGATAACCTCTCTACTATCACTGTGGGGCCTGATACCTAGACTGTCACTGTGGGGCCTGATACCAGAGATAACCCCTCTCACTATGGGCCTGGAACTAGGTATCTCTACTGTCACTGTGGGGCCTGATACCAGAGATAGCCTCTCACTATGGGCCTGGAACTAGGTATCTCTACTGTCACTGTGGGGCCTGATACCTGAGATATCTCTACTGAGATAGCCTCTCACCTGATGGATAGCCTCTCACTATGGGCCTGGAACTAGGTATCTCTACTGCTAGTGTGGGGCCTGATACCAGAGATCTCTACTACTACCAGTGAACACTACTACCATAGAAATAAAGAACTTATCAGTCAGCACATCTTTGTAAAGACTAGGGGCCTACCTTCCTGGGTGGAGGTGGGGGTTTCCGTTTCTGACCAAGTCGCTCATCTTTGTTATCTTTAAAGCTTTTCTTTGAATCTGTTTCTGAGAGCACCACAAAGAAATGATGACACTTCTCACACTTGACGAACCGGGTAGAAGCTAGACAAACAAATAGGGTCAGAACGTCAGCACTTGTCAGTATGAACACATGTACAAATACAGTCAAACTGCAATGGTATCGGTTGGATTGCATAATTCTACAAATTGTGGGTGTGGGTGTGGGTGTGGGGGGTCTAGCTGACAGTGTGGATGTAGCTGTGGGTGTAGGTGTAAGTGTGAGTGTGGACGTAGCTGTGGGTGTAGCTGTGGGTGTGGCTATGGGTGTGAGTGTGGATGTAGCTGTGGGTCTGGGTTTAGCTGTGGGTGTAGGTGTGAGTGTGGACGTAGCTGTGAGTGTGGGTGTGGATGTAGCTGTGGGTGTAGCTGTGGGTGTAGCTGTAGCTGTGGGTGTGGGTGTAGCTGTGGGTGTGGGTGTAGCTGTGGTTGTGGGTGTAGCTGTGAACGTGGGTGTATCTGTGGGAGTGGGTGTAGCTGTTGGTGTCTGTGGGTGTGGGTGTATCTGTGGGTGTGGGTGTAGCTGTGGGTGTGGGTGTAGCTGTGGGTGTGGGTGTATCTGTGGGTGAGGGTGTAGCTGTGGGTGTGGGTGTATCTGTGGGTGTATCTGTGGGTGTGGGTGTAGCTGTGGGTGTGGGTGTATCTGTGGGTGTGGGTGTATCTGTGGGTGTGGGTGTAGCTGTGGGTGTGGGTGTATCTGTGGGTGTTGGTGTAGCTGTGGGTGTGGGTGTGGGTGTGGTGTAGCTGTTGGTGTATCTGTGGGTGTGGATGTATCTGTTGGTGTATCTGTGGGTATGGGTGTGGTTGTGGACGGAGCTGTGGGTGTGGGTGTAGCTGTGGGTGTGGGTGTAGCTGTGAACGTGGGTGTATCTGTGGGAGTGGGTGTAGCTGTTGGTGTATCTGTGGGTGTGGGTGTATCTGTGGGTGTGGGTGTATCTGTGGGTGTGGGTGTAGCTGTGGTTGTGGGTGTAGCTGTGAACGTGGGTGTATCTGTGGGAGTGGGTGTAGCTGTTGGTGTATCTGTGGGTGTGGGTGTATCTGTGGGTGTGGGTGTATCTGTGGGTGTGGGTGTAGCTGTGGGTGTGGGTGTGGGTGTGAGTGGGTGTAGCTGTAGCTCAGTGTGTGTGTCAGCTGTGTGTGTGGGTGTAGCTGTGGGTGTAGGTGTGGGTGTGGGTTTAGCTGTGGGTGTTAGGTGGGTGTGGGTGTGGGTGTGGGCATAGCTGTTGGTATAGCTGTGGGTGTGGGTGTGGGTGTGGCATAGCTGTGGGCTGTGGGTGTGGGTGTGAGTGGGTGTAGCTGTAGCTGTGTGTGTGTGTCAGCTGTGTGTGTGGGTGTAGCTGTGGGTGTAGGTGTGGTTGGGTGTAGCTCTCTCTGTGGGTGTGTGTGTGTGGGGTGTGTGGGGGTGTGGCTGTGGGTGTGAGTGGTAGTGAGTGAGGTGTGGGTGTAGGTATGATCTAGTTATATATTTTCTACATTAGATTATGTCATGGTTTCCGCCCTATTTTTCATGAAAGGACCGAGCTGGGCAACTTACAGACAAACGTCTCCACATGTGTGCAAGGATCCCCACACTTGGGACATCTCAGCTGGCCAGAACCCTTCTTGTCCCCACCTTTGTCCCCACCCCCTGTGGTGCTCCCTGATGTTGGGGTCTTGTCACCATCCCCAGTTCCGGAGACGTAGCAACCCAGACATGGTGAAGTGGACAGGCACCTGCTAGACTCCTGGGATGAGGCAAGGTACCTCTGTAGCCTCTGAATGCTGGTGCCTGCAACAGAGTTTACATATACAGGCACTGGTATTGATAGGTTTGGTCAGGTTTGACCGAAATATCAGTTTGTGACACATCATGAGTAATGGGGGCCGGTGGGTAGCCTAGTGGTTAAAGCGTTTGCTCCTCACGCCGAAGGCCCGGTTTCGATTTCCCACATGGGTATAATGTGTGAAGCCCATTTCTGGTGTCCCCCGACGTGATATTACTGGAATATTGCTAAAAGCAGCGTAAAACTAGACTCACTCATGAGTAATTGTCATGCAACGAAGAAATTTGGACGGTGTATTTAGTAGTGTCAATGAACACCTCTTGTCACCAGCTATAGTGTCAAGTCAACATTTGGTACACAAGTACATCCATATTTGGGCAGTGTTGTCTCACTATTCATTTAATTTCTTTTCATACTTTTCCAACTTCTGTTTTATTGCAAATGATCACATCTTTGACCTAATAAAGAACTCTGTCTGGTAATCCAACCATTTAGTAAACATGTAATAAATGGCCTAATTAGTCTATTTACTCAAGAGATAACAAGAGCACTCAGGATCCATGGTCTGCTAATGATGTACCGTATATTACCGTCTATAAGCCGACCCCATAGATAAGCCGACTCCCAAACTTGACTCTTAAAATCAGTGTCAAAATGGTATGTTTCATGCATAAGCCGACCCTCTGCAAAAAACACAGACCACAGACAACTGGCAGTTACCAATAATTATAACTTTGGTCCACATTATTAAAAAAATTCACCATCATATTGTATCTACTCACGCATCGAAATGAAGTGTAGTTGACAGAAAATGGATAATATATTTTGTTTAGCTAGATATCATACATATTGTAGTTAGACGATAACTTGTCAACAAACTGGCTTGCTTATTACCGCCTTGTTTTCCATGGACTGCTATTTTACAGTAACATCGGTAAAAATGTGTGAATTTAAATGGCTTGCTTATTTTACCCCATTCCATGTGCGTACAACTTACCACGTTCATGAGGGTCCGTATAACCTTAGTGTTGATTATATATTTTACATTTATAGTGCAAAAACTGTAATTAACATTACACAATGCTAGGATATATTTCTTTGGGTTAAATAATAGTATTCTGTATTATATTTTACTGATGACTGCACCAGAGTTCATCCCGTTATATTATTGTGCATGTTTGAACTTGATCACCGGGAAACGTGTGCACAGCTGATTGCTATTTCCGGCTCAAATACACACGGTAATCTTATTCTTAATTAATTTATAGAGCAAAAACTGTAATTAAAATTACACAATGGTAGGATATATTTCTGTGGGTTAAATAATAGTATTCTGTATTATATTTTACTGATGACTGCGCCAGAATTCATCCCGCGATATTATTGTGCATGTTTGAACTTGATAGTCGGGAAACGTGTGCACAGCTGATTGTACGATAAATGTCATAATGACTAATATGTAATAAAGTGTTGAAATAATGAAAACGTACAGGTTAATATGTATTTTATTCATCATTCACAACATAAACGCTGTAATCGTGGCAAACATCCAGGCAGATGTACCGGTAACCTGTAACATCATCCTGGCAGGGCACTGGCGAGCTAAAAAATATTTCTGTGAAATTGTATCTCATAGATAAGACGACCCCCCTTCTACAGACATATTTTTTTGGGCCTCACAATTCGGCTTATAGACGGTAATATAGGGTAAACACTTGTAATCGAACAATGTATTTCCATGTCTCAGACCAGTGGGCAATACTTTATATATATCTATTTTAAATGTGTTATTGAGATTATGACAGATGAAAATATAATCACTGCTTAAAAGAATGATGAATTTTTAAATGATCTCTGCCACAGTTTTGTAGATTTACATACCAGTAATGTAGAGTTTTGTGGCACGAAATATATGATGCTTTCTTAAATATACCATGTTTATTAAATTATGTAATCATCATCAAATATTATGAATGTTTAAAATACAGACACATATGATAAAACCTTTCAGCATTACCTATACTGATACATCAATGGATTATAGCGATTTTGTTGTTTGAAATTACACATCTGTGTTTCAGTGATGATGAGCTCAACTAGTTACTTGCACAAATTGTGGGAACAAGTCATCATACATACAAATTACTTCACAAGTATAAAAAAAAAAGATATTTATTCGCTTTCCGAAGAAATATTCAGAAGAACAGATATGTTTACATAAATTCCATGTCATGCCAAAATAGATTAAGCTATTAACTGTCACAATATTTCCATATTCAATTTTATCAGATATGGTTGACAACATGGCGACTGATCCTGTCCCAGTAATGGAGAATGCATTAACATTGAACACCGAAGGACAGACCTCAGTCCACATAAATATAGTTCAGGTATTAATTCAAACAAAACGTATTTAACTTTAAGAGAAAAAATGCACTGTTTCAAGTTACAGCAGCTGTAAAATTAAAATCATATATCACTAAGTTCATAGCCCTAGACATTAAATAGACCATTATCACACAAAAGATATGAAAATAGAACAAATAATAGATATCACAATATACCATTAGTCTATAGTTATTAGTTTTAACTATAAGACATTACACAAATGTTAGCTCTAAAACAACCAAGTACTAACACACATAAAATTCTAGTTGTGAAATGCCCAAAGCTGCCTTTTGTCAGTTAGTGAGTATTGTATTTCCCTCAAAACTGTTCTAAATAGTCGTACTGATTGAAGATCTGTCCATAAATACTGACATCAAAATTACATGCAATACACAGATACAGTTTGATGTTTGATTTTTTCCTAAACTTGATGAATGAATTTGATCATAAGAATTACTCGATCTGCAAACAATATTGTACATGTAAGAAAAGACAAATAGTTATTAGGGGTGAAACGGTATGCTCTTACCACAATATGGTACATATTGCAGTACAAGGCCTTCGGTTCGGTCCGTTTTAGTTTGGTTTGATATATGATTATCATAATGCAGAGAATTGACAACAAGAGCCAAACCTTACATCGTGTAATAACATCGGGGAAAATACCGATAATCTGTGTTATTTTGAATGAACAAAACTGTCAGTTTATGACAAGATAGGAATGACGGTACGAAAAACGAAAATACTGCATGTCTGGATTGCATTATGGTATACCGAACTGAAGGCAAAATACAGCGGTTCTACTAATACCGCAGTATACTGTTTCATCCCTAATAGTTATTTCCATGTATTCAAAAGTCATTGGCCTAATATAAGATAGAGATATCAGATATTTCAGTATACAATGGCACACACATTTCTTTACAATTTTTTTTAAAAAATACAAGAAAATTGTACAACACAATAGGTGACAGTCTCAGAAGGTAATTAAAAGGACATTTGCGTATATTGGTTGTGAATAATGATTTGTGTATTTGACGCAGATGATGATATCACTATCAGACAGATTTGTGATGATTTTATCATTTGACTGTTCACTATGGTGCAAATTAACCTCAATGGATGTATGAAAATTCTCATGTGAAATAACTTCATGAACTCATACTTGATATTGAATACCTCTGATTTATCATGTTGATATGTCACGCTCAGTATATACACATCATATTATCTTTCCTCTTGTGGAAACTCATCATTTATTTATCATCACCCACAAAAATAACAAATAAACAGAAAGAGAAAATTCAATGTTATTTGACTTAATCCCAAGTCAAACTGATACCAAATCCCTTTGCCAAACACACCTAGAAACATGTCCTTGACAAGAATTCTTACCAGATGTCTTGGCTCTCACACGTCCAAGTGCGATCCTTCCACATCTAGCTGCATTTGACATTTTGGATTGTAGAGAGTCAAAGACACAGCTGTCATGAAACACAAATTCCACTGGCCCGACGTCAAGTCATTCACTGTCCACCCTGATGTGAATCTAAGAATAGATATAAAACAACGTCCGGATTTTACGTGACAGTCTAGCTAGTACATCAATTATCAGTCATTATTTTCCATAAAGTAGATTGAGAATGTATCTTTAAAGAAATACGAAGACTTACAGTGCTCACGCTACAATTCAGGGAAACAACAAGCCTCTGAATGACATGAAAAAGTTAGAGGAACAATTTGTATGCTACCAACTGACCACAATCACGTATTCTTGTTGTGATCCCGTTTTGCGCATGGCCGTGTTTGAAGGTCAAGGTTGCAAACGACACTTAATGGGGAGGGATAATTGCGAGGTTTTTGGCTATTCGTGTTCTTTTGTATTCTGTGTTAAACCCATTTCTTCTGACGAAGAAGGAAGTATTGCAACTAAGATTCAAACCATTCAGTGGTTTATGTAGCTACACACAAACATGAATGCATGGCAACCCTAGCTGAGGACAGGGTGTGTTGAACAGTAATGAAGGCTCCTGCCAAGATGGCTGCGCGCATGTAGACGATGCTTCTAAGTTGTGTAACAATGCAACCTACTTAAGGATACGTTATTAGATAATTATAAGATGGCAGGTCGGGGGAGAGGAAGGGGCAGGGGGATGTCCTTCAATATCGAAGCTCTTGGGTTTGGACGAGGCGAAACACTTCCCGGGGCAGTACAACAACCACCACCGCTGTTTCCAGTGAGTTTCGTCACCTAAATGTCAATATATAGATACTACTTATTTTGTCTAACGGGAGCTAGTCACCAACCGGTTTGGTCAAAATGCCCTAGGCAAGATTGATCACCCTCAGCTCATTGGCTCCTGATCACCTTTCTAATCAAGTTCCCCTTTACGATCATGCATTTACTTCGGATCATATGTTTTCGGTCGTCACACGAGGGGTGTTACGTCAAACAGAGACTGAAATTTCGGAAAGATTTCCTCCCGTAACCCCCGTTTCATTTTATCATTCTATACCTAAGAACAAATGTTGTTGGGTGTTTTATCAAAAAACCTTAACACTAACCCTTACCCTAAATCTGAACCACACCCTAACCCTACCCTAAGACCCTAAACCTAACCCTAAAACCTCGAAATAATCTTAATAAATAGAAAACATTTCAAGCGGGGGTTACGGGCGGAACTCTTTCCCATTTGAAAACCAAGACAACAACAATCGAAGCATGGGCAGATCCAGGAATTTTGAAAGGAGGGACCAGGATTAGGTACCCCTTTTTGGATTTTTATGGAAGGGTATGGATTAGACATTTCTTTTATTGGCCTACCATTAGATTTCAGAACCACACTCATTATAATGACTTCACAATAACACGATAACTTCCTAACACAAGGTGTATGCTGAAAGTGCTAACATTATTACCCAGTCAATGGATCAGTGTGCACAACAGCCCAAGCTGCCTGTGAGGTGCAATCAGGTTAACAGTCAAATGATCATCTCATCCCACCAGGTACCCATTCATTGCTATTACAACAGAGGCATGTTATGAACTTGCCTAAGGTGATACCACATGTATTAGATCAACAGGACCACATTCACACACACAAAACATGTGAAACGTTGTGAAAAAAACCCACTATGCTGTTGGCGATATTATCAAGTATGCTTAAACTCCTTTCAGTGATTTATGATCGCTTTACGCACTGCAAGTATTGAGAGTACTGAGTACTGCATGCAGTGACGCATTGTTTATGAAACCAATTTTATTCTAAATAAATGACAGATTTCAGTTCCTACTAACTTCATGCATTAAAAGTAGTATGAATGGGAACTAATATCCATATATTTTTATATTTTTATCCCCCTCAATGCCTTTTGCAGTATTAAAATGGACTCTGTCCTTGCGTCTGTCTGTCCGTCCGTCCGTGCACATTCGTCTTTTCCGGAGCAGAACTTTAAAACCATTCAGTATTTCTTCACCAAACTTGGCACATAGATCTGGTGGTGTACTGGTGCCTTTTGACAGATTTAGATTTCTGAATAAAATATTTTTTGCGTTTCCATGGCAACAAATTTAACTTTGATTGAAATTGGTGGTAGTGCTCTTTTCTAGAGCAGAACTTAAAAACCGTTCACTATTTTTTCATCAAACTTGGCACATAGATAGGTCTAGTGGAGAACTGGTGCCCTTTGATAGTTCTGGAATTCTGAGTAAAATATTTGTGCATTTCCATGGCAACAAGTTTGGCTTCAACTGAATTTGGTGGTAGTGCTCCTTTCTGGAGCAGAACTTAAAACCTTTCAATACTCACCTTCCACTTTGCTATATACACACCAATCATTTGACATAATCATAACTAGTTGACATATTCATGAAGAGTATTTTGCCATTGCGGGGGATATTGATAACTCTGTCTTGTTCTTTTTGATTCTGTATTTCTTGAATTAGTAAATATATTATACAGGAGCTGTACACATCCAAATATTGCCAGTCCGAGCACCGTTCGGACATCTTCCAGTTCCTCTATAGTGGGACATCTTTAGCAGTAAATCAGTTATTTCTTCAGGCTATTTTTTTAATGAAGACAATGAGTAAGGCATGCTTGGGATCAAAGGGGTTTGTACCCTCTTCCCGTGTAACTTTTGTCTGATATTGCTTTTAATTTTCTGTTGCATTTGTAATATTTTTCACCAAACCATGATTAAATGGTTTAGTATCAAGAATTTTGTCTGCAATAAACTGTCCTTGAACTTTCATTTTAGCCACTTTCACCCGCTATATTTGTTCAGTAAGGATTCGGATGTTGTGGTGTTACCAGTTATGCTTATATCCTACCTTGCTCCTCGGTATGATCCACATTATCCTGTGTTCCCAACAACTCTGTGACAACATCATTCCCAACAACTCAGTGACAACATCATTCCCAACAACTCTGTGATAACATCATTCCCAACAACTCTGTGACAACATCATTCCCAACAACTCTGTGACAAAATCACCCAACAATTTATTGAAAAACATGTTATTCATATGTACTTTGCAGTTGACACATGTCTGCAGCTGTTTTCAGTTCAGGCCATAATCAGCTCATTCCACACCACTCAGTATCTTGTATTTTAGGAATGGGACAAGTGTGCCTAATGGCATTGGGCTCATTTGTAAGTGTCTGAAAACTAAAGTTATGAAACACATGTTTACCCTTAACCTTAGTAATTGTCCAATGACCATTCTTAACCCTTGAAGATGCCAGTTAAAATTGGTCTTCAGCAATTCCGTGTTTGTCGTAAGAGGCGACTAACGGGATCGTGTGGTCAGACTCACTGACTTGGTTGACGTCCTCACTGACTTGGTTGACGTCATCGTATCCAAATTGCGTAGATCGATGCTCATAATGTTCATCACTGGATTGTCTGGTCCAGATTCGATTATTTACACACCGGCACCATATAGCTATTATTTCCAACTCTGTGTGTTTTCTCCTATTCAAGACTCTTTCTCATAGCACCGTTGAGCACTGTATGGTGGAAACTTGGCACTACACAAATCCTTTATTATTATTGTTATTATAGCTGGAATATTGCTGAGTGCAGCTTTAAACAACAAACAAACCAACAATAACCTATTCCACTCTTTCCATTCATTTCCATAAACACATAGGTGCTGATGACATGTATATTATTTGTGACAGCACCTGTGGTAAAATGCTGGCTAACTGAACATACTGATAAGCCAAGGTAACCTTGAAGTTTAAAAGTCATCTTGGTACTCTGTGGCATGATAATTGAAGTCTGAAAAAAGTGCAATTAGTAAATTGGATTATTCCCAACAGCCCTTTACAGTCATAAGATTGAAATATCCTTAAATATTGTTAGGCAGCCCCGTACATCATAACAGTCAACACTTTACAACCATAGGTGTGACTATGGTTGGTTGTGGGTAAGGATTGATGTTATTATACGTCACACATCTTTTGATGACTTAATCCAATGTAAATTGAAATATATCTGGGAAATATCAAGTTTTTGTTTTTTAAATGGCTACCAGTGCATGTGCATAGGATGCTGATCATTAGGAAAACTGATTATCTGTTAGAGCACCTGTGGTAAAGTGGTGGTTTATTACAGTAAGTTATTACCTAGTTTAACTAGCAACATGAGCCTGGTACTCAGTGTGGTGCCAGTTGAAATCTGTAAATATGAATTGAAAACCAACATGTATTTTAAAATGATGTGTACTGGCCACTGCACGTTGTTTCTTCTGTCTCTGTGAAGTGATTGGACAGGCCACCAGTCCTGTTTCAGGTATGGGACCAAAACATTGTCATTTGGAGTTGTCCAAATGTGTTGTTTGCTTGAGATCACTATCCTAGTTAGACCAACCCATCTCTGGGTGATAATGCATTGTGATGTGTTGTAATACATGCAGATATGCCAGAATTAGCTTATGCTAGGTCAGTAAATGAACTGAGACAACTTGATATCACCAACTGTTTACTCAGGGCAAAGTCAAACTTCAGAAAACAAAAGGTTCCTTGTCATCCTCGTCTCCATTCATTGGACAATGTATATGATGTCAAGAATTCCCCAAAGTTTGAGGGCCTTCTAGGAAGTAAAGGTTGTTATTGATTGGGATCTTTGTTTTTCTAAAGTCTGAGAGAAAGTAAAAATATGATCTATAGCTTGTTACATAACAACAAAAATGTTAATGTATCAAGCAAATAACTTACCAATACCTTGGTTTGAATTAATGAATCATAGAATGCGGAACACTCAGTAACTGCTCCCTCATTTCTAAACTTCTCCTTGAGGGCAAAATGTGCTTGCAAGTGCCAGAGTGATTACTTGACAAATATTGTACGTCTTTCAACATTTTATTTATTTTTATGATGATGACAAGTGAAGAGAGTCTAATAAGAAAATGATATTTTATCAGTATATCCCAATACAAGGGTTAATTGAAATGTACCTGTATTTACTGACACAGAGTCTTACACTTTGAGTATGAACATTTGAAATCAATGAAACAGTTTTTGCAAAAATAATTTTGATCATTATTCCAGAACAGGCTTCTCTTACTGTTAAACTGTTTTAAGAAACAAATGTTTGAATATGTAATCAAAATAATCCTTATTGAGTATTCAGGGTTAGAAATCCACGACAAGCCAAGTTTTGCACTAAATGATAAGTTATGTCTTCTCAATAATTAAAATAGGAGATAGAATTGTTATGAATTTAGATAAATCTGTATAACAAATAAACACTGTGTTAGGGTAGAACTTATGTAAACAAAGTTATTGTCAACAATGTATGTGTCATCTAGGTCAACCTGACCTAGGATGTGGGCAGTCAGTTACAGCTATAGTTGCGGTCAGTCAGGGGTCAAGGTTGTGAAGTATGAAGCCTTGATGCATTACATAGCAAACTTTCTTGAGACTCCATGTCAAGACTACATCCAATGTCAGCAACCTTTTGATAAATTATCTTGTACAGAATGATTTGTAACAAAATTCCTTTTCAATGACAAAATTACTGATCAAGTCCTGCAAGTATCATTTTCATGACCTCTGTGAAGGAAAGGTTCAGCATGCAGTTGATAGGCTGAAGCAAAGACTGTATTAGGCCAAGGCAAGGATAGGTGGTACATAGACCGTCATGAAAGGCTGACCTATACACAGTATATTTCTGTGTTAACTGTGCATATGGTAGAGTGGAGGATGATCTATCTTCAGGATCAGTAGCTTTAAGCAATGCCAGTTTCTTTCTTGTTTCATGGGTTGTCTCGGTCAACAGGATAAATGGCAAAATAAAAGAATTAGAAATGATATCAATGTTGATTTGAGCAATGATGTTGAAGTTCCTTTCAAGAAATGAAATCTTAGTATTACGGTCAAAACAACTTATAAACAAAACAATGTTTGGAAAAGCAAAACAGTACTTTATTTCTAAGTATTTCATAAAGTTAAGGGTTGTATTTTCCATAGAACACAATAATCAAAAATAGATCTGACCTAATCTAATTACTAATTCATTCATTTGAAACAGTCATCTTTGTATGGCAGTGTGCGACATTGGAGTACGCTGTACTCTAGACTGTGAGTGGTGACAGATTTAGTCTGTCACTGCAGACTTGGAGAGGAATCTAGGACTCCGAGCAGGTCCAGAATGTGCCACTATACTTACGATTGATGATTTGCAAATATATACTATTAACACAGGTGTATATGTCACCTTGCAGCAGGTAATACAGATGACACTACTTACTCTGCCCTGTCAGGTGCTGAACCCAGATGATGATGGAGGCCTTCTCACAGCTGCTGACTGCTGCTGGGGATAAACTGAGTGGTCTGTCTAATGGTGCATAACCTGGACCCCCTTCTGTTTGTCCACCCATTGTTGGTCAGAACAGTACTTGACCTCTCTACCCAGCGGCCATCAGTAAGTGTAGACAAAATCCACACTTGGCACTGTTATCGAACATTCTGAAGTTTGGTCACACCAGCCAGAAGGAAACTATTTTGAACTTTCGTTGGGCGCTCCCAAAATGTTCTAACTATATTATTTAACTCTTCTGTGCCTCAGTGATTTACAGAAATTTACTTCAAGTTGTAGTTTGACTTTATAAGGCATATAATGTATGTTAGTCTCTACAGTTTTAGTATCTGTTTGTAAGCATCCCGCAGTGTACACTGATGAACCATATGTCACTTGAGGTCCTGTGTACTGCATCTGATGATAATACATCCATGAATGCCTTTGATGTTAACATTACCCCATCACTGTATCAGTGGGACTCTCATTCCCAGCTCCCTACAGGGAGGTGGTAGAATAGTAACAGTCGTTGGTTTGTTGTAGGCACAGGAAACAAGCGTCTCCTGGCATTCTTTGTTACAGCCAGGAGACGATTGCTACTTGAGCCTATTTTGCCAACATGTGAAACTTGTTTTAAAATAACACTGATATAGCTACGAGATAACTCGTAGTGGCAAATTCTGCCAGAATTGATACTACGAGTACACTCGTGGTGGCAGTCAACGTTTTAACACCGCACTCAGGAATATTCCAGCTATATGAGGGCAGTCTGTAAATAATCAAGTCTGGACCAGACAATCCAGTGATCAAAAGCATGAGCATCCGTCTACCCAATTTGGGAGCGATGACATGTGTCAACCAAGTGAGTGAGCTTGACCACCCGATCCTGTTAGTCTCCTCTTACGACAAGCATGGGTCTAACATTAACAGTCTCATCTTTCCGAGTACCCATTCACTGCTGGCTGGACAGAGGAAGTTTGAAACATTTATAAAATCTTGTGTGTCAGTGGGTGTGCTTGCAGTGACTGCCAGTGAAAACCCACAGATTTGCGTGAAACAAAGAACGATAAGATACTTTGCCTGGATATAGTGGGACAATTGTAACAACAGCTTTCATATGAGTTTCTTTGATGAGTTCTCTTGACAAATAACGACAGAGGTGATTAATATTTTTGGATTTCAAGCGTTATGGGTTGATCTGGTTAACATAAGTATATTTGTTTTTCCTTGTACTAGGGTAATGTCTGCACAATGTATGTCGAAGTATCATGTATCCTACAGTACACTGAATATAATTGCAGTATGTGCAATTACATCACCTATTACTTGATGAATAATTTACTCAGTATTTTACAGAAACAAATCTCACTGTTGCATATATAGGTATATGTAGAAAGTTGAGCTGTACTGGATGTTTGTTATTTATTGTGTATTGTGTCACCATAGTTACCTGTTTTGATGTTCTATCTATAATCTCCCAATGTTCAGCTCTCATGTTGTCAGTGGTTAAAGCTACATGATATTTATAACATAGTAAGCATTTGTTAACACTGGAAAATTTCATGAGGATTTTCAAGTGTATACAGTAAAGAGACATGTTTTGACCTTGAACTCTTCCCTGTTGTGTTATAGTACAACACATCATCCCATCGCTGTCAGGCTACAATTAGTGCAGTTTGTTGTAGAGATTCCAACTTGGACAAGCAGTTATCAGTGATGCAGCTCTTGTTCAAGTCATGAATGGAGTACAATACCCATTGTGATCACTGTAAGGAGTTGTTGTACATGCACACTAGTGCGTGGCACCTCCATGTTCTGCTGGTAACTGTTGAACTCCAAACACCACCTGCCACAAAAACTCCTCAATGTTGTTTGTGGGATTCATGCTGAACTGAATATAACCGTAACATTACACATTGTGAGTGTGAATCAACTTGCGATAATACATTCACAGCACTAGTGGTTTGCATAAGCAGCTGTTGTGTTTGCAGTGTCATGGATGAGTCATGCATATTCATAGACGGTTGTCTGTCACATACTGATTTTTGTCAAGTGACATTTGGAATTCCTGATAAAAAACATTTTGCTATGGATGCACCGGTGATATTCATGAATGTACTGTAATGTTGTACTTTAATGTTAGTGAGTGAGTGAGTTTAGTTTTATGCCGCTTTAAGCATTATTCCAGCAATATCACGGCGGGGGACACCAGTCTTCAGCATGACAGGCAATTATGTCGTAAACGTTCCCTCTGGATTATGGTTGCCAGTTTCCTGTGGTATCACAGTGACATACAGAAATGAAAGAGAGAAAAGTTATCTTAAAAACCCTAAGTCATAGTTATCCTTAGTGGTATGCCTAAAGAGTGACACAGTTATCTCCCCTAGCCGTGACGTCACAGCATTGTTCTCCCCAAGCCCTCATAATTTTTCTGTATGGTTCACGTGCAGACGTTCACAGAAGTGGAAGAGAATTATCAATGAAGTCTTCACAAGTGAATGTTGCAAGTGTACTGGTTAGTGAGATCACAGTTGGTCTGTTCTGACCATCGCATTATATTGTGAACTGTATATTTTGCAATTGCTTTACTTGTGAGGAGTTAGATTTTCCCACCATTAGAACTTATCACAATGTCGCAAAACAAGTGCTTGCAATGCCAGAGATTCATGGCTGAATCGTACCCTCATTCATTATGTGCCTCATGTTTTGTGGGATCGCCTTGCTCTTTAGATAATCGTTGTTTGCTGTGCTCAGAATTATCGAAAGAGGACTGGTTTATTATGGACAAGGCTCGCAGTAATTCCAGGAAAAGGAAATTATCGGATTCATCAGATTCATCTTGAATTAAGAAATCTGCTTCTCAACCTCAGCCAAATTCCATTAAATCAGAGACTAAGTCTAGGTCAAGATCCAAATCTAGTTCTTTGTCCAGCAAAGTGGACATGTCGGCCATTACGTCCCTATTGTTGGATTTTAAGTCAGCTATTCAGGCTTCCATGCGGCAATCTTTCCATGAGTTTGAAAAGCGTAATGATGGGAAAATATCAGAATTGCAGAGGCAGTTAGATTTCACGGAATCGTTAACCCAGAGGGCTCCATATATAAATGACAATGATGATGACGGGCGCACTAGGCCCTTGAATCAACAGTCATTTCCCGTAGGGCGGCACGGTGCTATGCTTGTTTCGGCCGTGTACCACCACCGTTTTGAAGCTGGGTTGCCGATCCCCACGGCGGGGCGCTAAGGCTTTGTGCAGGAGGGACACCGCCACGTGCGGGGTACCCTTAGGGTGCCAGTACCTAAGCCAGACAGTCTGCAGAGCCGGCTATCGTTTCACGCTCTGGTGGATCTGTGTCGCCCGTGCGGCTTGGGGGGGATTCCGTTAGTCGGGCTCAGGCCGCCGGCACGGTCCCTTACCAGCCGTCAGATAGCACGGGCTTCACGGGCTGCTTGTCCTACGGGGAATGCCACGGATAGTCATGCAACGGCTACAGTTACGTCAACGGCTTGCCAGGACTTTATAGATACGGACAATCCGCCCATATTACCGTAATCCCTGACTTATCGGACTCAGAGGGGCATACTGCCTACCCGGTATCTAATCCTGAATTGATTATGAAGGAGGGTTGTGTTACTGTGCCTTCCATGGATACGGCGGCGGATGATTAGGCTCCCGGATGGACATTGAAGGAAAAAATGGATTTTTTATATGGGTTGTATCCAAGTCCTTTACCTCCGCCAGCTGAGGATATGGAACAGGAAATACCCATTGAATTGGGCTCTTCTGGCTGTTTACCTCCGGAGCGCACTCCCAGACTATCTTTGCCTCATTCATCAGTAGTGAGATCGGCCATGAATAATTACAATGAATTGTTGGCTAAATCTACTTCTCTGGCAAACTTACCCAAGATTCCACATAGGCCAGCGTATACTATTCACAATCGGGAATTGCCAGCTGGGATACCTCATCTGGACAAGGACTTTAGTCTTCTGGGGGCTAGTAATCAGAAGGACTCTCCGTTACCATGCCAACCCAGGGAATTTAAGGAATTGGACACAGCCGCACGTTCTACCATAGATATCCTCTCTTATGTTAATTGGTTCGCGGCGGGTGTAAGGGCATTACTCACTCCTGTATTCAAGGATTATACAGACATTAAGAAGAATACTCTCATGGCTATGTCGGTGCATGAAATAGCCTTGGCTCATTCTTACTTGGATGTATTATATCACGCTGTTTCGGATGCTACTCAGAATCAAGTCTATTCCTTGGGCAGACTCACGGCTATAGATAGGACACACAAGTTGAACTCAGTTAAGAATCTACCGGAATCCACACTAAGGAGCTGATGTTTCAGCAACCTTTGAACTCAGAGGCTACCTTCAACGGGCAGTGTCAACAAGCAGTTGAAGCAAAGGATGCTATTACTACGAGGAATCTTAATCAGCGTTTAGCATTGGCCCTCTTGTCGCAGAATAGGTTCAGAAGTGCACCTAAGGGTAGAAGAGATGGCACACAACCTTCATCTGGGTCTCGTCCTCAATCCATAAATTCGACAGGCACCATTACAACATTTAGCGTTTGATAGAGCCTTGGATGCTAGACCATGTACATCAGCCTCTAGCAGGGGTTCCTTTGCAAGTTCTAGAGGTAGAGGTAGGGGGGCTAGGTCTTTTCGCCCCTCAAGGGCTAGGAGGTTCTGACTCCTCTCTAGAAACAAAATTCTATTCCTTACGATTTGGAACCGCCCCGGGACATGGAGATAGAATTTGATTTTGTTCAACACATGATTCCTTTGCTGGTAGGGGGCCGTCTGGCACGGTATCACAAGAATTGGGAACTAATCACACAGGATTCGTGGATTCTTTCAGTGGTGCATCGGGGATTCATGCTACCCTGGCATGTTCGACCTCCAGTCACATGTCAGCCGACAGGCCGGAGGGTTTTTATTCAAAGCCATCGCCTAACAGCAGCCAACAAAGCTATTCAACAATTATTAGAAAAGGAGGTCATAGTAGAGTTGTCTCCCCTAGACACCTCAGAGGGATTTTATTCTCCCGTGTTTCTAGTCCCCAAGAAAGACACGGAAGAGATGCGTATGATAATCGATCTAAAGATCCTCCTGCCAATTCATCCTCTGTCGCAGAGATACCTGAGGTTTGCAGCCAACGGTGGCAGATATCAGTTCAGGGTTCTACCATTCGGGATATCACTTGCCCCCTGGCTATTCACAGTAATAATAACTCCCATACTGGCCTTCCTCCATCACAGACACATAGAGATTTTTAGCTATCTCGACGATTTTTGGGCCATGAATGTAATCACCAACGAGCTTGTGGTTCAGACCAGGTTCATTGTACATGTGTTCACTCATTTGGGACTTATTGTTCACCCAGAGAAATCGGAATTGACTCCATTGCCTCGGATAAAATTCCTAGGACCATATTTCTATTAAAGATTCTAAGGTTTAAGTATGTTCTATCGAGCTCTCCTAGATGGACAGAATTCTCCTCACATTAACTTCCTGTCCTAGTTATTGAAGCTAACAATTAATCATTGTTAGGATTATGGTGGCGGGTATCAGAAGACATGAAGTAATCTAAGTCATAGTTATTCAGTTATGAGAATTATATACTTCCAGTAAGATATTGGTATCCCTATTCTCCTCTCATCCACGGGGCCCTCCGTCCATATGTGGGATTCTGGCAACCATAATCCAGCGGGAACGTTTACGACATAATTAGGAACAATTACAGGTATTGTTAGTAATTGTTAGTAAACTTACCTCTGGATAATGGATATAGGTCCCTCCCGAACCCCCCGCAAGGTGTATGAGAAGAGGTTTATTAACAGTTTCTTTAGAAAAAAATTATGAGGGCTTGGGGAGAACAATGCTGTGACGTCACGGCTAGGGGAGATAACTGTGTCACTCTTTAGGCATACCACTAAGGATAACTATGACTTAGGGTTTTTTAAGAGAACTTTTTTCTCTTTCATTTCTGTATGTCACTGTGATACCACAGGAAACTGGCAACCATAATCCAGAGGTAAGTTTACTAACAATTACTAACAATACCTGTAATTGTTCAAGTCTGGTAGATACAATCCAGATAGATGTGCTCCATACAACTTCTACAGATAGGTCTAGTATCATTTTGCTCTCAGTCAAAGTGATTTTTTTTTAAAAGGCATGAAATGAAAATGAAGGGTTCTTGTCCTCAAATAAATTTATGAATTTTCAGATTTTTACTCAAACTCCTACTTAGTGGAATATAACCCCTTGAAGACTCAAGTGTTAGTTCAATGCTGAAGTCAGGACTGTACTCTCTCTAGGGCAGTGGAACCTGTCCACATCTTGACATGTTGTGTCCTCTGCTGTGATATGGATTGTAACTAACAGCAATGATTGCTGACCTGTAGGCCCCAGCCAACCCTGCCCAGTGTTCCAGTGAGCATTGGGTAGTGTTTTACGGCATACTGTGAATAGTCTGCCCAGATGGCACTGGTAGTGTTTTTACGCTGTCAAAGTTCAGCATAATTTCAGAAATAATCTTCAAACACATTTTGAAAATTATCAGACGTATTCATATGAAGGTGAATTCAACTTTGTGCATTTTAACTCAGGCTTGATTACAGACATGTTCGTGCACAATAATAGATGGAGATGTACAAATATTGTACTCACTAGTTATTGATGTATTGTCATGGTTACAGCCAGTCAACTACAAAGCAGTTCCCCTGGCAACAGGAGAAGACTATGACTACATGCAGGCCCTGAAGCAAGAGTTCCACGGTGCCAGCCGCAAGTCACCGTTCTTCCTCGACTTGATGGAGAAGAAGAAGGACATAGAGAGGTACTCGGACAAATACCAGCTGGGTCAGCAGGACAACTGCTCCGGGTGGATACCAGGTGAGATTGGGGACCACCCGACTGTAGGGGACCACCCCACTGAAGGTACCACCCCACTGTAGGGGGCCATCCTACGGTAGGGACCACCCTACTGTAGGTACCACCCCACTGTAGGTACCACCCCACTGTAGGGGCCATCATATGGTAGGGACCATCCCACATGTAGGGACCATCCCTGTACTGAGGGACCACTCCACTGTAGATATGACCACCCCACTGTAGGGCCATCATATGGTAGGGACCACCCCCACTGTAGGGGCATCATATGGTAGGGACCACCCCACTGTATGGGGCATCATATGGTAGGGACCACCCCACTGTATGGGGCATCATATGGTAGGGACCATCCTACTGTAGGGACCACTCCACTGTAGGGGACCACCCCACTGTAGGGGCATCATATGGTAGGGACCACCCCACTGTAGGGGGCATCATATGGTAGGGACCATCCCACTGTAGGGGGCCATCCTACTGTAGGGACCACTCCACTGTAGGGGACCACCCCACTGTAGGGGCCATCATATGGTAGGGACCACCCCACTGTAGGGGGCCATCCCACTGTAGGGACCACTCCACTGTAGGGGACCACCCCACTGCGGGGGATCACCCTACTGGGCTGGTGGGCTAGCTGGCTAAGGTGCCAGGCTAGTAATCCAGCGAGGTTGAGGTGTCCGGATCGAGCCCACCTGTCACTGGGTGTAAAAACCTTGGAGTCAACTTTGTGTGCAGACTCTTTCAGTGTTGTCACAACCCCTAGTGTACAGTACACAACCCTGTGCACTTAAAAGAACCCACGAATCCGTTGGTATATGACCAGATGGTGGCCACATGAATACAGAGATGAATATGAGATTGACATCCAATGATCGAGGGAAAAATACCAGCTCCTTGAGCATGCACTAGTTGCCTGGATATGTGCGCTATATAAATATCCTGTAATAAATAATAAATAATAATGTAGAGGACCACCCCACTGCTTTATACTTGTACCTTACAGGAGCTGTGTTTTACTTCAGGGTGTATTGCAAATGGTTGTGTGAGTAGGCTCATTTGTTCCAGTACATCATCAGGTATGTGTTAGGTAACATCAGGTATGTGTTAGGTAACATACCTACAGGTTGAGAGTGTCCTGTGGGTACATGCAGTCTGTAAGTAGCTCTGTCACCATGAACAGTTATTTTGGCATCTGTAGAAAGCAACAAGTAACTAATGTAATGTTCTGGCAGCTTCAAGTTATCGGTGGAGAGATATTAGAGAATAACCAACTCGGTACAAGTGATTACGGGAAATATGCCCGAGTTTTGCACTGAACGTTATTTTAACGAGGGCATATTTCCCGTAATCACTTGTACCGAGTTGGTTATTCTATTTATTACCAATAATGTAGTTTAAGAAGGAGAACCATGAAATAATAAACACCCGGAGACAGGACTTATGACCTCAAACAGCTGATTCGTATTCATGCGCGATAATTTCTGCAGCGGTAATAACATAACTACGCTATGGAAAATAGTACTTCGTAAAATCGCTTTAAAATACAACAAAAATATTTTTTATGGAATCATTTATTAACATTTGTTAATATGATAAAAATGATCCTTTAAATGCAATATCATTGAACTTAATAACAGATAAAATGTTATTTGATCAAGTCAGTGCTCCGGGACATTGTTCATTCACGACTGACGTGTGTCTAGTGACGGGTGACGGTGTAGTGTTGAAACACACTTTGGCAAAAAACCTGTCAATTTTGGGGAAATTCAACGGTTAAAAGTTGGGAAATCTAAAAGACAACCATCCCTAGAATACATCTAGAAAAAGTTTTCTGTCAAGAAACTCAACAAGTTAGAAGATTAGACAACATTTTGTTCTGTCTAAGGCGTGTTACAGTCACGTCATTGGTCCAAGTAGAGTACAGCAGTTCCAAGTGTATGTACAGAATGATATTTACGGCCTGCGACAAACACTGTGACGTCATGTTTGCAGTCGGAGGCAGAGTGGTGGGGTTACAAGGGTTTGACAACAATTTATTGATGGATTGATGTTGTTGCTCCTTAACTGAAGAGTAACTGTTTATTGATTGAACATTTTTGTGCCCGGGAATATTGTGCCTGGTTCTATAGCATGGATGCCATAGCACACTCACTTGTCACACTTTCAGGTCACACCTTTAGTCGGTATCTTGCTGCTTCTATTTCCCTGAATTCAGTTTTAACAACAAATAAGGTTGTAGGAATTCAAGGGCTCTAAAATTCTTATCACTCTTCCAGTTAGGTCACCATCAACTTTGACTAGGTCATTGACCTTAATCGGGGTTAGCCTGATGGCGGCCATGTTTGTTTACAAACAATGCAAACGATAGTTGTTTTTTTTTTTTAAGGTTATTTATTTTAAAACAGTTTTTTTTTTTTTTAAGGTTATTTATTTTAAAAGACTACTATCTACAGCACAATTTTATTGCAAAATAATAATGTCTTATAAAAAGAGTATTCATATTCTTTAACCTTTATGTTTTCTTTTTTAAATCTCGGAATGTGTGAGTACAGCACGTTCTAGTTATCAATGAAACGATATAAGTTGTCAATGAATTTGGATCATGAAAAGTAGTTCCGTCAACCAATCATATTTCTTCTCTGCTTAGCTGACCAATCAACGTTGAGAATCACTGAAAAGCACATGTGCGATTATCACAAAAATAATCACCTGTGTATCCTAGCCCATATGGGTAATAATGTTTTGTAATAGGTATTTCTGTTGGGAATATTTCTAACCAGCTGTTACTTACAGTAGTTTCACTTCAAAGTGACTAAAATCCAGTTATTTAAGAAAGTTTCTTGGAGGAATACATTTGTCTATCATTTTCTTTCACTCTTTTTACAACCTGCCTCCCCAGCAATGGGAAATGTCATGCTGATTTGCAGAAATGACTTGGTTCAGTTCTGTGTACAAAAATGCAACAGGTTGCAAAGAAATTAGTACTTGAGGGTTATTTGAAATATTTAAAAAAAATAATGTTTTTTTAAATGTTTAGCTCATCAAGGCTGTGAGTATTTTCATCTTGAAATTGAGTGTTGTGTGGTTGTCGTGGTGCAAAGGAGATAAACTTGGTGTGTTTAGAAATTTGATCGATAAGGTGATGTTCGATTGCAGATGAGACAGCTCTTATTGTAATGTGGAACCGAGCATTAGCTGATGCGAGAATAACAGTAAGTCACTAAAGATAATCTATCCAGAATGTTTCGACTGAGCCAAGAACCTACAAATCAGAGAATGTAGATTGAAGATGAACCATGATATAATACAGTTCATGAAGGGTACATATTGATAAATTAGAACAGGCGATAACAGCTATCTTAATTGGTTTAATGCGTATCCAACTAGATGTGATGTTCGGAAGATATAACACTCAAGTCAGTGATCACTGATATGGTGTTACGTCAGATTGTCAGATTGGAGGAGATTGTCAGGACACATACAGGTGGTGTCTATACGAGACTCAGGGTTTTTCCGAACCCATGTCTACTGCAATGTCAGTAAATACTCCCATATTGGATATATAATTGATGTTAGTTAAGTTAAAACTAATGGTGGCTTTTTAGAGGTAACCTTTTGTCTCTGATAAGCAGTGTGCGTAATAGATTCCATATTTTGATAGCCAGTCAGACTAGTTTTTTATCAGGCCATGATCTTGCATGATTCAAAAGTGTGTTCAAACTTAACAAGTTGAAGAGAGTGATATATTTACAAAATGACCCCATGAAAATTCACCAGCCAGTTGGGCCAGTGACTGTGGAGATTTACTGTCCCGACTGGATTTTTACTAGCCACGGGCTAGCAGGCTAGTGACCATTTGTACACTGCTGATGAAACAATAACCCGATAAAGAAGGTTTTAATGCTTGGTTTTACATTATTGCACTGAGTACAATGTTAAAGTACCTCAAAATTTAGGAAAGTATGACCTTTAAAATAATGAATTTTCCTTGGCACTTTATCTACAGAACTTGAAAATATATTTGATTACTTTGTAACCTTATTCAACCTTTTTAAAACAAACCCAAGTTTGCAGTGATGCTTCAGTTCATCATGCATGGAGCCTTTGCCATCTTTAATGTATACTATTCACACTTTGCTAAGGATCAAATCATGGATTCAACAGAAAACTATGATGTGGGGGTCAAATTTGGTTTAAATATCTAAGCTTGTTAGCATGGATCCTAGGTTCCAGTATGTCATTGCATCTTGTGGATCCCATACCTGCTATTGACATGTGTTGTTTATTTGTCAATGACTCGTTCCATGATTTGCAAAATGGTTGATTGGTGTCATGAAACCATTTTTATGGTTACTCATGTATCAAGTGCATAAGGTTAGATTTAAGTGACTGTTTGCTTAAAGAACCACTAAACTTTGTTTTTTGTTACTCTTTTAACCATTACATATGAAAGATTTGTGGTTAGTCTTATGCGGAACACCAAATATATTCTTTAAAAACTTGTGGTTAATTAATACAGAGCGATTAAAAGTGGCCAAAAAGTCGCCTGCTTCCCTCTCGCCCGCCAACGAAACCACAGACAGGTTACGGAACTCTGTCGCCAGAGCACTGCAGTGACGTCATATGAGGAACGATTTTCAGTTAGTTGTATAGAAAGTGTGTAGCACGCTCATCATTTTGATGATTTCTCGACATCAACGACGACATGCCGAATCGTTGCTTTGTCGTCAATTGCTCTAGGGTTGGGCGATGGTGTCCCCATGCACAGATTTCCACAGGACCCGCAGTTCGTGCTAAATGGGTTATGTTTGTGAGTGCGAAGCGAGCGTTGTGGAAGCCTGAAACGATATCTTACTTGTGTTCAGATCGCTTCACGGAAGTTAAAGAATCAAACTACTTACTAGTTGTAGTAAAATATGCATATGATTGATGACCATAAAGATTTTCTATGACACAACTTGTAACATAACGATTTCTTCCTCGGAAGTGAGGTTGTGGTCGAAGTA